GAGGTGCGGAGGTAGGATCACGCCCGCCGTCTCGTATAATACCGGTTTGTTAGATTACACGAGACCGTACAGGAGATCCATGCTCCACGGTAGATCCTCATGGATCGTCCCGCCTGGGACCAGGCCTTTGTATGTCTGCCTACCTGTCCGTCTGTCCGTACGTCTGGATGCTTGTCTCTTCGATTACGTAGCTGTGACAACACGCATTAATAGCGTCGAACCCTCGAACATATGGCAAAAACACTTTGCACGCGCGGAATTTTTATTTCAAGTTTTATCGATCGCTAATGGATCGACCGTGGGAGCAGTTCCGTCGAAGTATATTGAGAATGCAGAAATTGTTGGATATTACTAATTCTAACTAAAATTAGATAGTAATCTATTATTGTTTTTTTTTAAATGCAATTGTTTTTTTTTCAGGAAAATCGAAAGTAAATGATTTTTTAACCTATTAGAACCAAACGTTCTGTTAACACAACATTCCACTCACAATTTTTCTTTGGAGAATTTACATTATTGAATTCTGTTCTTTATACTGCCGTTATGAAAGAAGATTTCAACACAAATGCTTCCTTTTGGAGTTATATTCGTGTTATTCAATTGATTATCTTCGTTGGGACTGTAAGCTATCCATGTTTGGGCGGCAAGAATTATTGGTCTCGTATATAGTGTGATGGCGACAATTATTTATTCTTCACTAGGTATATGGCGTGAGTTAGATTGCCAGCTTCCGGTGGCGTTAATTTAAATGAAAAATACAAACAATTATATGCTTTAAAAATTTTACCTGTTTGAAATTTATGTAAAAATTTTACTGTTATTATAAAAATTAGGATTTACCTTTAAATATATCTGTACAAAATGAAAATATAAATTTACAGATACAAATTGTATACGTAGGTATAATAAGAGAAGGTGGGCTGTGTGTGCTATAGTCAATAGACGTGTCCGATGAAACGAGAGTTGTAGTTGTAATTGAGACTTGTTTGCGGAAGGGCGTAGGAAATGACTGTGTTTATGTAATCACTATAAACTAGCATATAGAGGTACTATATAATCGTAAATAATAAATCGACTCCAAAGTAGAGGTGTCTGGTGTCTGCGAATAGATCTTTTTCAGGCTTCATTATAAAGCTCGTATTATAATTTTAAAATTCTTTATAAACTCCAAAAACATCGATAACTTCAAAACTTTAAAGCTTGGTCGGAACCTTTTTTATTGACCGATTATAATAAACTTTTTCAGGGATTATTTCAGGGATTTTTATAAAATGGCCACCCTATTGTTATATTTGTCCCACGTCTTCCATACTTCATCATTAAAAAAAAAATGCTTCCCATTATATTTATTACATTGTTCACACAAAGATAAATGTTCCAAACAGCGACGACCACCGTGTTTGAACAAGCAGACATGCAAGACTGATTTGTAGTCTTCGTTACAAAATTAGCCGATAATTTGTAAGTTTCCCGGGCGTTAATTAACGGCCCGTGCGGATGGTTAATTTGCAAATAGCCGGAGCCGGCGAACACGCCGCGGAACAATGAGTCATTATTTCGGTCCCTTCGTGGATCTCGTGATGAAAACGATTCTCCGCGGTGCGATGCAAATGAATGTAACCAGTAACTGCAGATATAATAAAACTATGGATGCCGTTATTATTGAGGGGCCATGGATTTTGGGTGCCTGAGGAACCCAGTGTGAAGTTCTATCACCAAAGACGAGATTCTCGTCTGTGCACACTGATCACATACATCCATATACAGGGTGTCCCAAAATAGCTTCGACTCCGGAAATAAGGGGTTCCTGGGATGATTTGAAACAACTTTTTCCTTAACAAAATTGTTATCCGAGGCTTTGTTAACGAGATATTAACGAAAAACCCCGACCAATCACAGCGCGGTTCTGTTGGCCGAGCTTCCGCGATAGCGTTGGCTACCAATCATAGCGCGTACCCAACGCTATCGCGGAAGCTCGGCCGACAGATCCGCGCTCTGATTGGTCGGGGTTTTTCCTTAATATCTCGTTAACGACACCTCGGATGCAATTTTTGCTAAGGAAAAAGTTGTTTTAAATCATCCCAGGAAACCCCTAATTCCGGAGTCGAAGCTATTTTGTGACACCCTGTATATCCTACATTTATTGTAGTATCATTGTTACTCCTATGGTAAAATAGAGTAAATGGCACAGATTCATGACTCCTCGACAACAATGGCATCCGTAGTCTTATTATATCTGTAGTCACTGGTATAACCGAGACGCTCGCGCGCGCGCAGCTTGTAACCGATAACGTGATGTAACTGTAACCGGTAATACCGTGATGTAATGTATCAAACCAGTTGTATCCCTGTTATCGCGTGTATCCTCGATAAGATCGTGTGACGTGCTGCAGCAGCCGCGGAGGAGGCGCGCGGCGATCGCGTCTGTCGTCCGGCGTTTGCTAAATTACGCCCGGGATCCTTGCGATCATCGCGAGATAATATCGCCGCGGGCGTACAAATCGTTCCTGCGAAACAAATCGCTGAGATTGCAAGATGGCGACCTGTCACGGACCATCCGTCGCGTTGAAACGCGCTGCGCTTGATGAACCTCTGGACAGTGGTCCAAAAGCAAAATGAGGATGTTGAAAAATGGCCACTTTTGGAGCAGCTTGCGAACGAGAAATTCTTGCGGGAGATGTAAGTGTACCTCTTGGGGAACGAAAAATTTTATTTGTAGACTGTGGATTTTATGGATTTATAGAATATCTTATCACCTAAAATTCAGTTCAAAAAGAAGGAAATTCGATCACTGTTATATTCACATGATTGAACTCATTTTTGGCAACTTTCGCGTCACATTTCGAATAAATGCGAATAACATTTTTTGTTCCTAAAGAGGTACTCTTAAATGTCCTGTATTTGTCGTTCGCAAGGTGGTCCGGAAGGGGCCATTTTTTAACATCCTCCGTTAGCAGCACATACGCTTATCCAGCTCGAGCAATCAAAACAAAAATTTCAAAACTTGTAATTCCATTTAACTAGAAGTTGATAAATGAACGAATTTTTATCAGTTTTAGTAATCATAGTGATTAGAACCGAACTGCAACCGAACTAATAATCGAGAGTGAAATTTCTCACAATCAGAAAGAAAGTTTATAATTTACAATAAAGAAACGTAGAGATTCTGTACCCAAAATATCCAAGAAACAGATGAAATAAACTTATATAGCAGCAGACTTTGATCGTTAACCTGTATGTGTCGTAAATGAAAGTTCAAGATGCAGATTAATGGATTCTGTTCCAAGAAAAATTGCTTCGATCTTATATCGGGGGACGTATGTATATCCGCACTGGACACACCATTGAGATCGTGTTCAAGGAGGGTTACGTAACATCGGGCAAAACCGTCTCGATCTGGACGGTTGATGTTACTCGTTAACAACAGAATCGTCCCGGGCCTCGTCCAATTATTTTCGGGGCATAACGAACGCGAGAGATGGTTTCCCCCGTTCATGGTTGCCGCGCCGCCGATGGAAGGGAACCGTAGCGGTTAAATTTATCCTTCGCGGAGTTACGGAGAAGCTCGTTTTGCTCGATGGATACCTAAAACGCTCACGGTTTCGAGAGGACTCGGAAATAGCTATGGACTCGAGCGACCGGCTCCCGAAATAATCTAACACCATAGATTATGGTCGCGTGTAGAACGCGCGTGCACAGCTACGCGCCGCGCCCTATCCGACGAATGTTGGAACGATTAAATGTCGCCGAACGCTTCCTAAAACATATATCACGCACGTTGGATATGCTTCTTTGAGAACTGTGACTATATAACAGTGATATATACCATCTAATGTTGGTCAATTGCTGGTGCCCCAGTGTTCGCCTATTGTTAATCGTTTGTATTGTAATTGGTTTGTGGTGTAAGTGGTTTGTACGGCAATAGTTTGTGGTGTGAATGTTTTGAATTGTAATTAGTTTGTATTGTAAATGGTTTGGATTATGAATTATCTGTATTGTAGTTCGTTTGTATTTTAAATGGTTTTTATCTTAAATGATCTGTATTTTGAAGGGTTTGTATTGTAATATTTTATCGGAAAATAGCGTAGAATGTTCTGATGAAAAGTTCGTTTGTTTCTATCTAATTTAGTTTATTAATTATTTATGTGATCTTGAGCGGGAGGGAACGGAGTTTCAGTCTCTTGTTTCGCGTATACGGTGACTTCAATGCCAGCGTAAGAGAGCTTTACGTGTTCGATTATTCCTACAAGTATATGTGGAATGGAACGGATGTTTGTCACTTCCAAGACAATATCAAAATTTAATTAACATGTTTCATCTATTCTATGTGCACCTATATTCTATATAACGATTATAGGAGTGAAAGGCTGATTAATTCTGAATCCAATGTGAATATCGAACGCGATGGAATAATGTTTAAATGACTCCTTTCTATTGGCGATCAAAATATGTCATATTTTAAAATTACGTGTATCTTATAGAAAATTAGTTCCAAAACTAATTAAAAATTCACTTTACAATACAGCTGCATATGAAAAGCATAAAAATATAATTTTAAGTTACAATACTGGAAATATTTGTTGAATCATTTGAATATCAGAGACGTTACGACTTATAACCTGTCTTATTATTAATACTAGGAAAATTACTTAAAAACAGACATTTATTACAGTAATAATTATCTCACTATCTTGACGAAAATATATTAAATACGAATCATTTTAACAATCGTATTGTTACAAAGATTGTACGTACTACGTAAACTTGAGAGTGAGGCAATAAATATTTCCAGTACCGTAGATAAAAAATGATCTAAAAGAAGCCAATTCACACGTCATCTAAATTTTCATTCGAACATGTTATCATTAACCTCCTGACGCTCTTTTAATATTTTAGACCAGTTTCGAAACACGAAGCGAGCTATCTATTAAGGGGACCAGCATCTGAACGAAGACAGATTAATACATTAGTCGTCTATGATAAGGTACGATGGCCCTTACTTGAAGTAGAGCGATCACCAGACGTGTTTCACCGCTCTGCACGGCTATGGTGCTTATGGTGGTCGTCGGTGCGGTGGTTTGTTGGGGGGGATCCTCGTTGCTCTCCACCACCGATCGTGATTCCTTCTCACGAGGTCCATCGCTATTCTCCGTCGTTTCCATCGCGTCGTGCCCGTCCACCATTCTCGTAATTCTCCTCTTTCGCGGGAAAACAGACTCGTTCGAACTATCGGCGTGAATCGATTAAGCGATTGCCTCGATACCAATAAATCGTTTTCTTATTCTCGTCTTTTTGGATAACTCTAAAACCTCGATTATCTCAACACAATTTATTTGAACACGGCTCGACGCAAGCCTCCATTATCCGAACACTGTTATCCGTTATAAGCAATGAAATTATTTCAAATATAGAGTTATCGAGATTTTTTTAATTTCACAGGTCTAAACATTTGATGATACTGAACATGTACATAAATTAGATAACTTTCCAATGTAATTGTTTTAAATTTATAATTGTTTAATTATAAAACGTTATCAGCAATGCCGTGACATTTTGTTAATTTATTTCTTTAGAAATAGATCTTAAAAGATACAAGAAACAGAATAAAAATTCAGTAGAATATTAAAAATTTTTAATATTTTTGAATTCGAGCACTTTAGCACACAATTAGTTCGTATAATCGAAGTTTCAGTGAAATAATAAATACATTTCATTGAGGCCAATATTTTTTAACGACGAATGATGTAATTTGAAATACAAATTATTTTTTAATGGAATATATTAGACAGCCCTTAATTGAATTTTATTGATCACAGTAAATTGTAATCAATGTTGTTCACTTTTTCCAATGGGATATAAATATACTTATATTACCATTGCGTAACAGAGATTTCGATAATCTCAGACTTAATCATCTGCGTAATTCGCTGACTAATATAAAAACTGTATCAAAGACTCAAATTTAACATTCCTACGTTGCAAGTTTTAAACGACATTCAAAGTTACACTGGGCAATAGAGGGTGAAAACCTAATCACACCGAATTTCCTAAAACACGGAACTCAACTGGCCAATGTTCGTGAAATACGGAATTTAATTGGCCTCGATCCAAAATGCCCAGTGGTTCTTAGTTACCAGGGGACCAGATGAAGGTTTAATGGTTCCCTTCTATCCCCGTTGAATTAATTCCGACGTTGATCAACGTGCCGCGTGCCATCGCGGCCGAAAATGCCGCTATCACGCGGAAACGCTCTCGAAATTGATGCACGACTCTCTTCTCTCTCCCTCTTTCTATGCCCTCGAGTTCTCCAGTTACCATCGCCGCCCGCCTCGACACCACTGATTAACGTTATTTTTGGCGATTCGCCAAACGCTCGTCGCCGCGAGAATTCACCGCGACAATCCTCGCTCCGTGGCGAACCGGCAACACACGAAGCCGCGAAAAATTCCGCCGTTTTTTTTCCCCGCTCGGTCATTCTTTCCTCTCCAGACTGGAGTAACGCAAAACCGCAGAATAAATTACGGTCGGTGGTACGCGGAGGGCGAAAATAGACGTTTAATTCAGGATTCTGCACGGTACGCCACTACGATGCGCGCGCGCGGAAATAATGGAGCAACCTCGCTGTTGATGTTACTTTTTTACGAGCAATGAATGAAAAACTTTTATGATGTTCCGTCACCGAAAATATTCGCGGGGAAATATCTGGGGTGTTCGTGAAATGTTTGGGGGAACGCGTGAAATGGCGAAACGTTACTTGTTTGCCAAGATATTGATGTTTCGAGCTGCAGACTGAATTTATAGGGAGTAAGTATGATTATAATATTTTTCTGGTTGTGTAATTTGGAAAATATGCTAATGTAGTTTACTTAACAGTAGAAGTACCGAAGATGATCTTGCTCCTATTTCTATTACGCTGGTGGAAAGGAGAGCTTGTTGAAAATATACAATTCGACGAATTAATGAACTTCTGCATTTACGTATTGCAAGAATTGCTGAGAGGAATCGCAGAAAATGTACTGGTATGGCGTTAGAATAATTTTTATGAGACTTTATGAACCAGTAATTTTAAGAGGAAATAATTCTGGTTGGCTGAAAATAACTTATGCGTGTAGATATAATAAATTAATTGTCAATGAGGAATGAACATTTGTATATGATTTTGTTCTGAAAAAAATCAGGGCTAAATGTTTTCGAATAACAAATTTGATAGTTGTAGGTTTCTGTATGAGTCATTATTCTTTTTTGAGATAAAGATCGAATCAAATCCTTCTATTTCATTGGGTAGAAATGAAATACCATGTTCCTGTCATTAAAATTTACCTTCTAGAGTAAATATACAATTGCGATGAATGCAGAATTCTTTTCGTTTCATCGCCAACAAAATAATTCTAAAACCTGCAGACGTCAAGAAAATCGTCGTCGATGGATTAATGGTATCGACATTTCACGTTTTCCTCGTTAAACACGAAGATCAAGAAAGAACCTCGAGTACCGATTAGATCCCGCGACAGACATCCCAGAATATCTCCGTCGTGTCCGTTCGATCGCCAGCGTCCAATGGAACGACTATTACGGATTAAGAGGGATCTGGACACCACCTTCCGATCCGACATCGGTGTGTTTATACTTTATAGGTACATATCTTTGTGAGGTGACGTCACCGAACACGGACGAACGAATGGGAGGACAAAACCGGACTGACTGGTGGCGTTCTCCGAACGGCAAGAGAGGTTCACCACACGCACCGCGACCAACGATCGAAGGATTGTCTCGTGGTACCACCGTGGCAAGATAGAAAGAAAAAAAAGAAAGAAAATGGTATCGAAATTATGAAAAAAAATTCCGTTAGATCAGACACAGTCCACCGAAAATCAGGCACGGTTCGCCACGGCTCGCGGATTACGGAACCGTTCGCCTGGTGGCCATCGCGGTGGAACAATGTACGGTATTATCGGGTTATGTCAGGCTAATTACATGTTATCTCGTGGCTACGGCGTGGCCGCTCGTAGAAACCGATTAACAAGGCAACACTCGGTCAGTTTCGATGCACACGCGTATACTTGTTTACTTTAATTGGGTTCAACGACAAAACATCACGGTCGACCGGCCGACTCGTCACGATAATAATAATCGACGAGGAAAATTAACTATGACCCGTACGAAAGTTCGATCTCTTATTTACCGCGTAGATGTTCCTTAGTCAGTTATTTTTCAGGACAGACGAACCGGTGAACATTGTACCCGATTAGATGGGGGAAAAAAACGTGGCTGTTCGAACGGTGTCTAGCTGTTTCTAAATGATTCTGGATGAATGAATTCATTCAGAAGGAACCGTGAAGAATAAATGAACGGGACAGTTGACTCGATTTTTTCGTGAGTAAATCGTGTTAGTTCTCGTTTTTAACGTCGTGAAATACTGGCCTCCTATTTGTCGTAATAATGTCTGTATGGTTTCTGCTTATGTTATTGTGTTATATTAACAGAGAATAGAATAATAGAAACAGTAAATTTTTCAAATACTCCGCGAGATAGTGTAATATGTTACGGTAATCGATTATTTTCGGACAATCACCTAAATCGATCCACGTTTATGCAATGACAACCACAACGTAAACCGCAGCAGCAGCAACACTCGCGTGACACATGTCACAGTCGTGTCACATCACCGGTCGATCGGTCGCAGAAGCAAGCCGACCCGAGACTGAGCCGTACGACCGTTTCGAATGCCGCCGAAGCTGCTCGGTACCGGCCGAGCCGATCCGAGCACGCGCGATTAACGTCGAATAGCGACGAGTCTGCACGAGAACCGACGGGAATTTCTGACCCGCTGAATTCAAAGCAATTCCCGATGGAACTTCTTCAGTTGCGCGTGAATTTCGATATTTTTTAAAATTTTGCAAATTTTTTAAGGACCTCCATTGAAGTGTCAGGCACTTTTTTGCTATTTTTTGGTTCTTTAAAGGGGAAACACCTTTTAACTCTTGAAGGGTGAATGTTTTTAATGCTCATACAACAGCGATGCTTAGGGCTGTATGAACCCCTAATAATTTCTAGTTTTTAAAGATTATTTTCGAAGGCATAAAAATTGAAAGTGTTCTGCCATTTTGTATGACTTATTATTAGACTGCGGATTTTTATGAGAAATATCATTTCATGAAGTGATTTACAAATAAAAAGTTCTTTCTTTTCTTAGGAATTCTATTGGGAGAAAAATAAAATAAAAAATGTATCGAACTCTATGGAGTTCTTATTCTTTCATATTATTTCACGTGGTCCTGCATGCTAGAAATGCATAAAATCCACAGTCTGCTTAAATGCGATGCATAGATGATGAGATAGATGAAGCTTTAAGGTATGGAGTAAATTTCGATGCAGCAAAGGATGCACTTGAATACTTTTCTTCGTGAAAAATTGGCTGACAAAAACAGCATTTTAAACTGAGCCCTTTCCATACGAACCCAAACAGTTACTTTAGAAATTTTGTAAAATTTCAGTCCTCATTTCTGTGGAAGTGAGAGATCATAACGTGCAAAATTTTGATAGATCAACGTCATAGACATGGTCCCACTGTCCTCTATTTACTGAAATTGGATAAGGACTGTCGTTGACCTCTTAGGCAGTGGAAACATCCCATTCTAAATGTCGATAATTTTTGCTCTCTTTATACCAGGAGTGTCACTGGCTGGTTAAGTACACCGACAGATTACAAGACCAAACACTTTATTTACAAAACGTAACGAGCAAGCCATGCATACTGTAAATTTCGTACAAGATACAGTGACGTAACAATTAGAACTTACATACTAAACAGAAAACAGACGTTTTAGTACATACCTACGGATTTTGATTTTTAAGTAATAGGTTAAGGTGTTAAGTGTCTTAGTTAATTATCGTTTACGTGTTTCAAGTGCTGTATTTCATATAGGAATGTGTTCAACCCGATATTAATGACGATATGTTGCATGCACTGATCATTTTTGTTTGTATTGTAGGTATAAAATCGACCTCACTTTCACATTGTGTGCTTAGTATTATTGCAACGCTATAATAACAAAAAATGTACTAGCTTCTTTAATAAAAATTTTAAACTCCACAGTGAGAGTGATGAAAAATAACACCTTGAAATCATAGTTCCCGTTGATTTATGATGAATAGTCGATTCGTCAAATCCTTAAAACACGAGGAATGTTAAACATGTTCCAACAATCCTATATTGCTGTGTAATCGACGTATAAAATTGCAATCTAACAATGATCAACACCGGGTTGAACCAGCAGAACGATCGATTGTTTAATTTTAATTAAAAGATGCACATAAGTCACACCAAGACGAGACAGCTAGCTTGCATTAGACAGCGGCAAACGACGTCGATTTTCATTGACGCTGGAAAGCTCGACGAAACTCTGTTGCACGGCGTAACGATCGAAGCATGCGGCTTCGTGGCTGCAATTGCAGCTGCAGCAACACTTGTTCCTCTCGCCATTCATCGAGGGACCACCGATCGGACTCACCTTCCTCGCTTTATCGAGGAAATCTTGGCCCTCCAGGCTGTCGTCCCTCTTCGTCGGTGACATTTCGATTCCGCTGTCCTCGTGATGCCTGGTGTATTCCTTCAAGGACAACGTCATGTCCTTCGAGGTGTCTGCAGGAGTCACCGCTAGTGGTCTGTGTTCTTCGTTCTTCTCGCAAATCTTCGTGAACTTTATCACGCGTTCGGTGTCGTCCGATTTTGTTGATAATTCGTCCCTGCGGCTGTACGACTCATCTACTCAGAATTAAAATTTAGAATTATTTCATGGACCTTTGTGAACGGATTGTGGATATTTTCGTGGAGTCATCGTATATTTATGGAGTAATTCATAAAAATAGGATTTCAGTGAAAATTTATTATGTCCCTTGGATGACGAACCTGGTCACAAATATGGGTCACTTGACACCTGGATTATGAACCTATTAAATGTTAATAATAAGATATACGCCTTCAGTGTGTCCGTTTTTCGAGGTTTATGACTGCTGATAATGAATAAATAATATACTATTGAAATAAAATATTGACGAGTCTCACTTTTAGATCCAAGCTCCGGTTCACGATGGTAACCGTTGGTTTTCTCATGGGCGTCCGGTGACACGATGCGTTCGAGATCCATGATTTCTTTAACATCAACATTTTCACGATGATCTTGCACAGTGTTGGATATCACTTTGTAAGATGCGACTCCTAGTCGTGTGTCGTGCGATACACGCAAAGTCGTCGTCTCGGTAACTTCCTTTACGATTTTACCGGATTTTTCCTACGCCAACAAATATCAAAATAATCTGTTTACAAATGACGAATTTAATTTTTGAGTAAAAATCGTTATAATAAGTATCAGATTTATAAATTACCTATGGGACTTAATCTACAAAGAAATTCTTGTGTTACAATCATTTCAATGCTTACTTGCTTGATATCGTATTATTATTTTTGAATAACATTGAGCATTCATGTTTAAGAGATTTTTATAGTTATTACGTTCAGTTGTAAATAAATTCTGCTTTAGTATTATCAATCCTAATGAAACTTAGTAATTGATATTCAATTTGAACATCTTATTCATATAATTATTTAATTATTATTATTAAGTAAATTGAATATTTGAAAAACATATAGAGATAGATATATTACCAAATGAAAAAATTTCTTAAGTTCTTTTTATAAAGATTATGAATGGGTATTTTAAAATAGAAATCAATCTAGAGAAAATATAAAATTCACGACATACCTCTATCCTTTTTTCCACAGCTACAAATTTGTCAACTTGCTTTTCACCATTCGCCTCACAAACTTTCGGTCTTGAAATCTCTATCAACGTCTCCTTTTTTTCCAGCTCCGGAACTTTCGAAATTTCTTCATGTTTAGTCACAGAAGACAACATTGCTGCGTTCGTAGTTATAAATTTTGGATCCTCGATGTTCCACCTTCACAAATTAAATAAAAAAGAATATTATTGAGAATCACTTATATTCCCCCAATAATTATTTACTGTCGTCAATCTAGTCTATGTCAAATGTTCAAAGTAATGTCAAATACTTATAATATTTTTATATTTAATATTTAACATTTTTTATAGAATTGAATTTTAATGTAATGTATTTTTAGACAAAATCACAACATTTATAGCAACTCAGTATTCTGTTTCGTACCAAGTATCGCCTCCAGACGTCATGGTTGCTGGAGCAGCAAGGTCTTCGCATTCTGGGGACGTAACGAAGGATTCGCTTCTCGAACGAGCCGTCGGTGTTGTTGAACATTCAGTGGCAGTCACGTAACACTCGACGTTCGAGTCGTCACCTACGCTGTTGTTACAAGACTTTTCGATAATCTCCTGTGATGAAAATAAATAAATGATTAGAATTTGAAAGTTGAATGTGTTTCACAATATGTACTTTGACAACGCCCCCAGCTATTATATTTCTATACGTATTACTTTTATTAGTTATAAACATCCTCATTTTAATAATTCTTGTTTTAACATCTTAGAATAGTTAATGTTCCATCAACCATAATATACATACTTTTGAATCGAATAATTCTATAAACACATTAATCCATAATGATATTTAAATTATTTATACATTTTCATTTTTCATGTCAGAATTTTCTCTACTTGGTCAACAAATTATTGAAACGAAATCTTGCCTCTATTACAGCTCGCGAAACTATATCATCCGAACCACCCTTCAATAAACCTCCCACATTTTCATATTTCCTATAAAAATAACTCTCCAACACAGATCAGAAATTACCTAAATTACTCAAGATACTAAAAACAATTAATCGATACTAATCTCAACTCAACAAACTAAATATCTCAAACAATAATTTACTACTACAAATCTTACCTCTACAGCATCTTCCTGTTTATCACCGTCTACAATTCGATCGAATTCCTCTCGATTCTCACTTTCCGTTTCATCATTTTCAGACGTCTTCGGCATAGAGACTTGCTGCTCAGGCGACAGAACACTTTCGACAGCAGCACCAATGCAAGTTCCATTCGCTGATCTCGGCGACGTTGGTGTCGCCGAAGTGGAGGAACCCCAGGTGGTCGTTGACTTTGTCGTCGTGGACAGAACCGTGGACATTGACTTCGGCTGAATTTGCGCTGCAGCCGTGGACGAGCTTATCAACGGTGATGCGTTGACAGTTCCAACGGACGAAATTCCAGCTGATATCGGTTGAACGGAAGTGGCTGGGGCGACTGACGACGTAGAGAACAAAGAGGAAGTGGAGGACATCGCGGATGAGGACATCGGCACAGGCCGAGTCCTGGCTCCCGCCTCGCAGAGTCTAGCGTCCAGCTTCTCGGCCAGCCTTGTCACTTCCGCCAGCCTAGCCGAGATCGCCTCCACCGCTGTCAAGTTACTGACTTTGCCCGAGGCATCCTCGGCTTCAGACATTCTAGAAAAATAAATTTCCATCGTTCACTGGCACCGCCTATTAATAGAGCTATACGTGGACCGAGGTCTGCACACTCTTTAAAGGATGTTTTAAGGGCTCTTTAACCTTCCAACATGGAGTCAGATACGTGGTAATATTTTAAACTGAATTTAGTAAATATGTACATTATTCGTTTTCTTTGTGTCCACGTGAAATACTGTTCCGCTGGTATTAAAATTTGAGGTTTCGAATAAATGTAACTCTTGCAATAAGAATAGAATTCCTTTTGTGCCTGGGAAAATATTAACGATAAAGTAATTCTTGAGAGTGAAGTCGTCAAAGAAATCGTATGGCAAGGGTTTAATATCGATGATAACGGTATGGGGTGTCCAGTGGGGAGATGTCTGTTTAAGATATTTAGCGGATATTGGTAAATACACGGTACGACTGGTAAGAAATATTGGATCGAAGAATTGGATAAATGAATTTCTTTTTATTATTGATGATTTTTATTTATTTATCGATCGATTTCTATCGGTAAAATTAAACACGGTCAGGCGGGTTCAGAAAACGTCAAATTTCAAATGTATTATGCAATCGACAGTGACAGCGCCGCGACTGAGCGTCACGGAACAGATGGTGCTTTCAATGTGGGGCGTAGTTCTAATTTCGGTGAACCGAGAGCCACTGAATCGGCGAAGAATTACGTTTGAGCGGCATTTTGAATCATTACTGAGCACAATAAAATTCCGTGCGATCTTCGGGACACCACACGGCACTTTCTACCATCAGAAAATAACCGTAACACAAAAAGGATCCCTTATTTCTTCCTATTTTCACTTTATACTTTCTTATTTTCCACCAAGAAATAAGTTATATAAGTCTGGACACTTTTGAATATTAGTACGTAGTTTCATTATACTAGATTCTAGACAATTCCCTATGCTATTAGTGCATAAAATATGCATCATTGAGAATCAATTTTTAGTAGCCCATTACAATGTCTATTATAATCTGTTAATTGACAAAGTATTACTTTCCATAAACTGGTATTTGATAACAGTATGTATATTTGTGTTTTACAAAAATTTATGAAGCTATGTTCGTAAAGAAATAAAAGAATAACAATTTGTTTCAGAAACGTCAGTGTTTACGTTGCTTAAATAATATTTCCTACCTGAATAGCAGTGATATATGGCAGGACAATAGGAATCATTAGAGTAGTCGTGTCCATCCAGTTCAATAATACTGATAAATATAACTTTCAACTCGTGTAACGTCGATATTCATGTTTCACCCCATGGCAGATGCTCCAAATATGTAAAGATTCGCATATAAGCTTCTGTCTCTCGAAGAATATTACAATTTCAAATGAAACTATACGAACATAAACGATCTAACGCGCTATTTCCCCGGTTGGATTCTAGGATCAATATATTTGTGCATTCGCAGCATGGATCACAGCCAATGAATTTTCATACCAACTGCTATCAACCCAGAAAGCGTCTGCACGTGTTGGAACAATGAGAATCTTGGAACAACAATACGCCTCTGATAAGAGTTCCACAAAAACGGAACATCGAGTGAAAAGAAATATATAGAAAGTGAATGCATCGATGAAGCTTAAAGCACGGTCTGCTTGTTTTGGACCGTTGCCAGTGAACTGCATTCTCCAGATTTAAAACTTCGCGGTAGATCCAAGTAAATTTTCTCAGCGAATCTCCCGTGCATTTGGACTTCGACATATTTCTCTCGCGAATACATTCATGTAACAATTTCGATGGCCCTGACAGTCCTAGCCTAGGTGAAAATGGGACGTTGGGTCTCTATGAATACAAACTGTAACGGACACGTCAACGAGAAACAGACACTGGTGACCTATATTTATTACACTAACACGTGGACGAACGACAAAACTCGACAGAACGCACATTAATCACCTGTGTAAGATTTTCTTTTCTATTTAATTTCAAGTATTTACAAGCAATTCCTTCTACGGAATTATAAGTAAATATGTTGACATACCTGTATAAGATATTCATGAAAAAAAAAAACTCCATATCTTCGACTATCAAAAAACTATCTATCGAGTTACCTATCGATAACTGATCCAACGACACCAAACTAACATACCGAACAAAGAACTTCAAAAAAGAATTCCGTTACTGGAAGTAAATAATTTGATCTGTCACGAGATCCAGCGACGATTTGTCGACATTTAAATGATAGCACGATCGACTCCAGGATCGAACACGACCACTAATTGTTATTCGGAAACTTCAAACTTACATGCACCAATATCAAGGTGTAGGTGACTCGTCGACGTGCAGCCATGGACTGACACACCGCCTCCGTTAAAAACGGAGGTGGCCCGTCGACGTAGCCAGCCCCCCTCGCCTCTTATTACCGACTCCGTTCTGCCGCGGTCTTTCTTTCGTCGGAGGATTATACACTCGGGAAGCTGATCCGGCTCTCTTCGATCTACCCGCGAGACGGCGGACGATGACCGAATTACGCGAGTTTTATTGCTCTAACCCGGTTGCACCGGATATACAGGGTGGGGCAATAACAATCTTCACTTCGAATATTGTCGTTATTTGGACTAATATGAAATAATTTTATATACAAAACTTACACGGTATAGAGGGGTGCATATTATGACAAATATTTTCTGCATGGGTGAAGACATAGAGGAGATTTCAAGGTCATCTCTATTTTGTTTTAATGGATTGCTATGCTTTTTAATCGCGATGTGATAGCCGGTGTTGAGGCGACTTCAGCGAGCTATAATTGAAGTTCATGCAAGGTCGAATGTGATAGTAAAATAAATTTTCTTACATTACAGGAGATTTCTTACATTGCAATCTTCGTATCGCTGCATCACGTGCATGTCTTATTGCTTCAGAACTTATTCAAGCACATGTTGCAATTACCTTGCATAACCTTCAATGATAGCTCGCTGAAGTCGTCTCAACGCCGGCTATCACATCGCGATAAAAAAAACATAGCTTTCCATTAAAAAAAAATAGAGACGACCTTGAAATCTCCTCTATGTCTTCACCCATGCAGAAAATATTTGTGTCACAATATGCCCCCCTCTGTACCGTGTAAGTTTTGTATATAACATTTTTTCATATTATTACAAGTATCGGCAATATTCAAAGTGGACGTAGTTATTGCCCCACCCTGTACACATCGGACGAGAAATACCCAAGGACACCGGTGTCGATCGAAAAAGCAACGGAAATTCGAGGGAACCTTGCCAAACATCTGGATCCACGGTAAAAATCAACGATACTGGATCCGTTTAGGATGGGCTGGGATAGGTGGAGACAGTTTCACGAGGGTGGCCAGTTTCGATCATGGCGATATGTTTTTGAACCAACACCAAGAATTTCAGATGATTAGAGGTCTGTCACACGGAGATACGTATATGACAGATATATACAGAGTGTAAAATTGTTAATGGATATGGCTTCAAAGAGTGATCTACGGCGATGGATCGGTGGATATTTGCCAAAAAGTTGCTGCAAAATTGTTCATAACCAATGAAAATTAATATTATACTTTGAATTCGGTGATAAGTATTTTTCTGTATTTTATTCCTGAATGTGTATCTTATACGCGTATCGCGATGAACGTATCTCCACGTGGAGGAGCTTTTATGGTCGCCGTCGTACTTGCCGTTGGTGGCACAGGGGCTCCTTCAGCCTGGTCCTCAATAGACGGCCCAGACGGACCATTCGACCGACCTCCAGAAGAAGTTTCTCCCGATTGCCCAGGACGTCCCTTATCTCTGCTCTGGCACGTGACTCCGCCGCCAGATCCTCCGTCTTCAGCGATCGACGCAGGCATCCCACTGTCTCGATCAGATCGCGTAACTTTGAACAGTGCTTGAACAGGTATATTCGAAATGAATAATTCATCAAGTAACAGGTAATCTGAGAATGAGGTGAATTTAATGTTTTTTAGGTAACCTTCTGACGACTATGGATCCATATGTGTTTCAAGGGTACGCTCGATGTGGACTAAGGATCCATATATGAGATTATTGCGTAATAAATATCGTTTTCACAGCGTGATTCATTTTAATCATCTTATAATCAATAAATACGGGATTGAGAGCTTGTTAGTTGTTGGTAAAAGTTTGTCGATTCTGATAAATTTTACTTCGATTAAAAGTCTCCTTTTCGGGATAATAGTAGTCGTTCAAACTCTGCAGTTAAAAAACGGTGTTTATTATGCAACAATTTACCATGTACCTATGTATCTGATAGCAATGTTCATTGCAAATATGTATATTAAATAGTATGTGTGCCGCCATTTTTCATTCTGGTGTTATTGTGACCGAAATTGAGGAATAGCTATTTTTCTGTTATTTTTTAATACAACACTAAAATACTGTAGATCCCCCATTGCCTGCACAGTGTGATGTTTTTTTAAATGTTTATTTTAATTTTTCCAACAATGGTCACCGTCCATACATCTTCGACGCTCCTGTGGAAAACAGCACACACTCTCAACCTGGTCAATTGTTCTTGACCAACGGATCGAAGCTGCTTCCAGGCCTGTCGCAGCCTTGAGAAAAGGGTCGCGTTACTGTCCAGGGACAGCCTGCAGGATAATCTTAGCACTCGAGCACCGTTCACTAATTGGCAGCCATAATCGTATGTCCCCTGGAATTTTAAAGGCCAGCGTTAGATCCTTGATACTTTCACTCCGGTTCTCGCTGTTCAGATTAGATATCTCAAGAAGAATTTCAAAGAGTCAGGCACAGAAACACCATGAACCAAACATTTAGAATCAATTTAAGGTTTTATAAATATCTATATTTATAAATTTATATTTAATGTATATTTTTATAAATACAGTTAATATACCACAAATATGTGGTACATTATACATACAGGCTATCAGGAAATTTCAGGAATTTCCTTGACCCATATAAAAAATTGTGTGAAACAAAAGTTCAACTATATTCAAGTGTGCACAATTTTCGTCAATCATAGTTTCTGTGTCTGTATTTTTTTCCAAGAAATGTATATCACCCTTTTTGTTTCTTAAATGAAACAATAACACATTGTCAAACACTTTAAAATAAATGATGTTCTTTATGAAATTTATAAGTCCCTTTTTACGTATAATATTAATTGCGTGTGTATTGAATAGAAATAATAAAGAAAAATTGTGAATAATAATAAATCTTACCGAAATATTATCTCATTATATAATATATATATTGGACCTTAAGCAGTGTCATACCTTAGCGGTTTCTTGAAACGACTGATGCTCCTCCTTTTGCGCCTGTATTTCAATCGCGTTGCAACCAATCTCCATGTGATTTTTCAGAAGAACATCGTACAGGTCGTTCAACCATTTAACCGCCTGTGAACTATGTTTTCGTAAAGAAATCATCTATCAGGAGAAAAATACACCATAAAAAATGTACGGTCACCTGTTCAGTGTCGCTTTCGTAAGTGTATATCAAAGTAATTTGTTTCAGTGACAGTTTTTGCAATTCAACGCTGTCGTTGAAGATATTTTTCCTAGCATTCGTTGCATCCAAAATGTCTCTGACGTTCACTATATCTTCACCGTAGTCGACCTGCACGTCGCGGCCGAGGGCATCCTTCACAGGCATCGAGAGTATGTCTGATAATTTTTCACCTTCCTTCACCAGTTCACATTCCAATGTTTCTAGAAATTTATGCGATACATTCGATTATTTCATTTATTTTCGTGCATTTATTCGAACCGATGTCTTATCTATGGAACAATTTTTCAAATTTCATAAGAAATATCAATAGAAAATATATTTTTGACAGTTATATTGACAATTATATTAAGCTTACTATTTCTCCAGGCTGGGAACACTCATCGAGGAGTTATTGTATTAGTAACTGTGTAATACGTGATAATTTTATATTTACCAAGAACAGCCTGATTCTGCTCCAATTTCGACAGGTTCGCAGCAGCCTGAGAGAAATCGTGAATCCTATTGCCCATAACCAACTTGTCGAACACTTCGCTGGTTTTGTCAAAATACTGAAACATTAGAAATGATAATGATTAAAGAACGTTTGTCTAAAATATTTCTGAAATTAAATTGAAAGAACAATCAAGTTTCCTTATTATTATTACAATATTAAATTTGTCGTAACACAGTGATAATATTTGCAACCGTATACCTCAGACACCAGCCTGAAGAATCTTTGCGAAGTGATTAACACGTTTCTTCGTCTCTCCAGTCTGGTTGCGAAGCTCCGACACACGAAATCCATGAAGTCCCTTTGTGACTTCAAATCTTCAGACAGACGTGCGCTTGGTAAACTGTCGATTTTGTGAAGCAATTCTGCGTAGCGACCGTATGTCTCCTAAAACACAAAATTAAATTCATAAATTGTAACAGCATGTACTTTTTAGAATTTATATATTACCTTCTTAGATTAATATGTGTATTATTATACAAGCTGTTCTGCTTAAAACAAACTACCTAAATATCTTCTCTACCTGTGATCATAATAGATTCACATTTTCAAGCAAATCCAAATATTTCTGAGACTAATGTACAAAAGCAGGTATGCAATACAGATTAATATCTTTCGCAAAATTGTTAAATATCAAATAAAAACGTTACTACAATTTATTAACCAGAGATGGACAAACTCATTATCTAGATAAAAAGTTTCGAATAACGAATAAAAGATAAAAAAAAGTATTTCGTCATTTTTAACTGTTTATACGTGGAAATTTCAATTTTTATAATAAAATAATACTTCTTTATAAATGAATCAAGATTTGTCGAACAATTATTTAATCTCATTAACTGTTTAAAGCTCAGAACGACACCCTTTGATACTGCTGCTTTTCACTGTGTATTATTTGAATAAAATTCTGCCCAACTCTGCAATAAACAATGGCAGTCTAACAACAGTCAGTGATTCCGAATTTTCGAATGGTGGTAGTGTATTAGTCTTATATATTAGTACCCTGCATTCAAGTTCCAATTCCTCGTGCTGCCTTCGAAGCTCCTCCGAGGACGAAACATCGAATCCGACCTGGCAACAGGAATTCAGCATAGCGTCAGCTGGTCCAAGGATCCAGTCGGTGACACGGGACACACCCTTCTCGAGATCGCCGATTACTCTGGCAGTGTCTAGGTTCCTTTCCATTTCTGTCCAGGAATTTTCGATGCCTACCTAAACAATAGAAACGAAAAAAAAATGTTTCGTTTTACGAAGAAAAGATAAAACTTTAGAACGAAAAAAAAGATATCATTTACATAGATATAAGAACAACGTATTTTGTTCGATTTGGAACGAAACAAATACCTGCTTCAATTCTATGGAGTCGATAAGTTCGTGGATACGTTTCGTGGTGTCCAAAAGGTCCTTCGAGGACTCCCTGCTCATCGAACTCACCAAATTTCTACCTGAAAAAATAATAAAACGCAATTTTTACTTATTTCTATAGTAAAATTGTTGGTCAAAAAGTGGAAAAATAAGTTGAAAAATAAAATTTCTTTGTATAATGTTTCGTTTCCAAAATATCCAATTTTCCAAATTCCAATGTATGTATTGCTGATGACAGTAAGTAGAAATGGAATGTAATGAACAGACGCGTTAACCAAGACCTATTCAATTACACGTATCTTCGTCAGATTTTCGAATTCGATTATCTCGAAAACAACGCATCATACGAAACAATATTATTCCCCCATACATTCTCAACATATTCTTGAATGTATAATCACACCCTTTTGGGTTGTACCACCAGTTCGGAAACACTCTATATTTACCTAAACACAACCTACTAATAATAACTGTTACCATGAACACACAAACGTTTAAAAAAAAATCTAAATTACTCACATAAATATAATATAATCAACTAGATAAATTACAAGATAAGTACACATATAAAATTTCTAATAAAAATGCAAATTTATAATTTTCTGTCTAAACCTCCAAAACAGCGCACCGTAACCAAAATCTTCATCCCGATCGAACTTCGAAAACCAAACGCCAAAAGACTCGTCCCGCGTGATCTCACGCAAGGGAAAAATAAGAAATAATTAAGCAAGTTGCATTGTCCGTGTTCGTCGTTTTTACACCCTCGCGAACGGCCGCGGTTGTTCCTTAAGGAACGCTCTTAGCCGACATCCGGTCAAGCCGGTTTTTCGAATTTTTGCGGATGATCTAGCTGCAAGTGTCTATCTTCCCTGTACGACCGGCTTGATTGCCAGCGTCGTAGCAGGAAATCACTATTAATGTACGCCTCCGACGCGATCGATAGCGGCGAGACGTGAAAGCGAACGGGCAGGAACGTCGGATAAACTTGTACGGAGGTTTTTGCTCACCTGTTTGGAGAACGTGGCGCGCGACGGATGATAATTCGCTGCTCGTCTCCCAATAGGATTCGAGATCGGCCGATTCCGAGACGCGAAAAGCGTCCAGGGTGGTTAATCTTTGATGGAGGCTGGTCATCTTTGACACGAGATCTGATGCATCCTTAATGTAGTCCTCCACTTTCTATTCAATCGATCGAGATCATGTTATTGGATGTAGAAACGTGACCAACACGATGGAGAACGTAACGTTCAATAAATAGACTGCGGTTCTTTAGGGAAATATAAATTTTTGTGCACTAGAGTTTATGAAAATTGGGGTACAAGAAGAATTTGTTTATCAGTCAGGGGGAGGGGGGCAAAAATATTAACACATCGACTGCCACAGTGAAAAAGGCTTTACGTAGTCGGACAGACTTTATTTTGCGTTTAAAGTCACAAATAATTGAAAATGTATGCGTTTTGTTAAAAGTTAATTGTAACACACTGCTCAACACAAATAGAGGATAATACATGTATTGCAATCACTGCAACTGACAATACAGCATACAATTACTGGATAATTTAAAAAAAAAATAAATTTTTTAATAAAAATTTGTCAAACTTATAATATTTTTTCGTCTTTTTCACTTGATTGACATTCAGTAAAATGAATACTTGAAACATTCGAAAAATTAAACGTTACAACTTAAACTAAACGTTTTTTTTACCGAATATTCATGTTTGACAAAAATTACCACGCGTTTCTGAATCCACTCCGTATGATTGTACAGTTTGTTGCCGCCCAGCTCGTACGGTAGTTGCGCGAAGTCCACGTGAAGCTGAAGCCTCGTCTGGGTAAGGTACGTCGGCTGAAATAACAACGATGAGAAGAGGCAGATTAATTTGCGTCACGCTAAACGCGCTGGAACAGGCCGCCAATTAACTTGTTGCTAACGTAATTTTAAGACGGACCAATTTCAGGCGAAACTGACGAGTCAGGAGAGAACAGATTGAAATGGGTAGTTGGAACGACTAGACTATTTTCAACGAAATTCTACAAAAAGGTGGAAACCCAGCTACTTAGTGGAACAGGTGTGACTAGACGGTACCACGGAATTGTGAATTATATAACTTGCAGGTAAACGTCAAAGAACTTTCAAAGGCTTGCAAAACGCTTTTAGGATCGTTTGTATATAATTTACAAAACATCTTTATATGGGAAGAGATATGGGAATTGGAGGATTAAAAGAATCCTCTTCAATGGAAATAAATGGTTAGTTATATTTCTTAACTAGACACAAACCTCTCCTTCTTTGTGAGATCTGGTGCAACTGTCTACTCTTTTGTCCCAGAAACCTTCGGGTCGCACCACGATCACAGAAGCGGCGGAAGCTCCCAGAAGAACGATCGACAGCCGTATGCAGGACCTCGCAACACGCCACGCACCCCTTCGTGCGTCCACGACCAAGACTAACCCGTTCCTCTTCGTCTCTTCGCTAACAATGAAACACATTCCTCGTGACCCACTTCCATTATGGCGAAGCGATCGGTCCGTAATATACAAAATGACCGTTCCTTCAGAAAACTAAGATTTTTTAATAAACTCATGGAACCCTATATCGTTTCACTTTAATAAGAAAAATATGTTATTTCAGAAAATTAAGTCTTGCTGAGTGAATAATAGTATAATAACAATCTTCCTATTTTTAACAAAAGTGCTCACCGTTATACCAAAACACTGTTAACAACTTTTTATGCAGTAACACTGTATTTCATGTTCAAAAACCCTCTTTTGATAAAATGTTTCCTACTTCAATGGATTATTTTGACAGAATTTATGTAATTTTCTGAAGCTTTTTTATCAATGGTAAGTATTCTAATAAATTGTTAGAATAAAGGAGTTGAGAAACTACGCCCAAGTCACAAGATTATAGATACTAAATTGATTTTTAATTTAGTTCGAGGGAATTTTCTGAACCAATGATATAAGTCATTAACGCGAACATTTTTGTATATTACAACCCAGTATACCGATTAGTTAAAAAAACTGTAAATTTTATGAACATATAGAATTTTGTCAATGTCTAACATTAAGTTTCTTTCCACTATTTCTATTACAGTGAAATCGTTAATGCAGAACAGATTTCTGTTCCATTAATCATAATTACTCTGTAAAAGTGTATGCACATTATAGTGAAATCGTTGATACAGTAAAACAGATTTCTATCCCATTAATCTTTATACAAACTGGTCCAGAAAACTGTAGATGCACATAAAACTTCCCAGTCTATACCAGAAAATTTACCCAAAAATGGCCAAGAAGTATGCGATAAGCGACTCCAATCTCGGTTTCGTGCTGGGCTGGAGTTCGGACGGAACGTTAACAACGATCAAAGGTCTTCCATCGCGATCACGTCCCCCTGGAATGCACGCAAGATTCGATTCGAGGGCTTCCAAAATGTCCACTGCCTCCAGGCTCGTCGTGGGCATGGCTTCGTTTCACATATTATTCCACCACCGATCTCAAAACCACTCCTCCCATCAAATCAACCTCACGCATACACAACACAGACACTCCATAGTCAAGAATCCCCGCACATTTACGGCACGTAGAATCATCGAGTAGCACGTAACCGACGTAACACAATACGTCTGATCGAGCAGGTAAACGATCGGTGTCACTGTACGATCGTACTACGATCACCAGGGAATTGTGTTACCCGTGATCAAGTTCGTCCCCGGTAAAAACCGCCTCGTGGTTCACATACCCGTAGAATCCGTACGCCTATACCAAAACCAACGGAACCATTGCGTCTGAACCACATGAATAGAAATGTCTCAAGAAACCTGATTTACATATCAAAAGGTACCACCGAGTACAGTGAAAGTTAAACACTCCTGTGGCAGTGTCACGCCTTCCTCTGGATCATTGGCCAACAAACTCCCGTCTCACATCACGATCAACTCCCGATACAGGCCAAGACCACGAAGATCGTCGACTTAAACACTTCCGTCGTCGTTTCGCGCCTTCCTCTAGATCCTTGACAATTCCCCGAGTACATCGTGAGTAACCTTTGCTGGAGGTCCAAGTCGATGAACACCGATCGAATCCTCACGGAACACTCGACGTACCACGATTCACTGATCCAGCTTGAGAAATAAAAAATAAACTCACAGAAGAACGTGGCGGGAAGGAGCTGGTCAATCGCGAGCGTGGACGCACGACTGGGGAACCACGGGCCCGGAAATGGCCGTAACAGCTGTGAAAGGGGGAGACGCAAGTGGACAGGTGCACGTGGCTCGAACAGAACAGTCGCGGGTTCCCCTAGGCGGAATCGAACGCGGAAATGCGACCGGGGACACCAACGATCTCCGTTTAAGCGAAGAAAAAAAAAAAAAAAAACTGTCGCGCGCTTTCACGTGCACGCGCCGCAACGGTCGTCACGTGCGGGGTACGTGGAAGTCGTTGAGCGAACGCGCCCGCGGCTCGGAGAACGGAGCTGCAGCTGCGACGGAGGCTGCAGGGAAACCGAAAGCCATCTCTCCGCTGGCTCCATTCAGGTACAACGGTACTCTGGCACCGATTAACCGTCTTCCCCTACTCCTCGACGCTTCCTCGTGGCCTCTTCCTTCTCCTTTCCCCTGTGTTCACGACCTCTTTCTACGGACGACGTCGTCCAGTTTTGTGTATTCGCGAGTCGGCGAAAATTCTTTTTGATAGCGGACAGGGGACAGGAAACGGTTTCGAAATTGGACGACCGGTTCGACGAGATTTTTCGGGTTTCGGATGGTGAAGGGTGATCTACGAATACACTGATCCGGACGGAGAATTACCATACCTGATTGAATAAACGCAATGTTGATAATATTTTGGAAATTCGAAAATCAGGCGGAACTAATTTTATTTTCTTGTTTTTGAATTGCTGAATATGATAGTTGGGGAAAGGTGTCTGAAACAATCCCTTTAAGGCGTATTTTATATGAAAAATACAAGTGCTTATTATTTAAATAATAGTATTTATGTTGGCCTTCAATTTATTATGCATTTTAAATTATACTGTTTCATGCTATATTGTATGATACATTACTGTAATATACAATTTAATTTAGTATACTATTTTTAACGCTGGTAGTTCTGTATGCTAATTTTCAGTATTTTAACAGTCGTAATTGTATACCCGTCAGAATCGCGGGTTTATAACTTGACACTTATGACAAAATCTACACTGTGAAAAATTATAAATTCAAACTATCACCGTTGCCAAAATCTTGTAAATCAGTGTTGCCTTGTTAGTTTCGTAAAATTCCAATAAAGGGGAAAGTAAATTACAATTTACATAATATAGAATGAAATATTCGTACTTTTTATAGTTAATAGGAATTACTTAATGATGGCGTTCATATTTCATATTTATTGCCGCTTGCCTAATCGTTACGAATTCATAATTAGTTTTTACCCGTTTCACATCCCAAAAAGAAACAAAACTACTTGAGTGATGATTCAAATTATAATAAGAAACAGATCGTAACTGTTGGATTATTCAATGCCATATCCGTTTCACAAACTGAACGATCGTAAGACTGGTCTCTAATTGTTTTCCTCTTGAAAGTGTCGGGACTGGAAGGAGGACGTGGAACTATCGCAAAAAGAGTATTAAATCGAAAGCGATGAAATCATCGGCGTCTGCGCGTCGTGATATTTTGTATAGTCGTGGCAAGGAATATTTTTCTGCTGCATGATTTATAGGTGCGACTGACCTCTTCTCCGGCTCCAGTCACGTATACTCGTATATAACATGCTTTGACGTTATGTCGCGACCGTAAAACTCTGTATAAAGGCTATTGTACTCCATAATGACTGAGAAAGAAGAAGTCTGTATCAAAGGTAGTCGTTTGCGCTCAAAGGATACCTTGAATTTACAAAATTTTCCCAAGAAAAAGATATCTATTACAGATTGTGAAACATTGATGGTTGCTAAAACATTTTCAGTGCAATAGCATGTCTTAAGATTGTTTAATATTAGAGTTGAAATTATACTGATTGACGAGGATAATTATAGTATGGTGCATACACTTGTAAAACTTACGTAATCATTTTTAGAAGCATTTCGTACTTACAGAATATGGAATTATAAGAAATATTGTCTACATGACATATATCTGTTTGCCTTAAATTACTGTATCTACATTTGTATCTGTTGTAAAAAATTTAATGCTGAAACGAAAAAGGTAAAAATCCGATGCAAAATTTTGTCCTGTAATTTATACAATAGAAATTTTACTTCGTTCCAAATCACTAGTTTCACTGCTGAATCATTATTGAGAAGTTTGATACGATGTTCCCGGGGACTTTTTAGTAACCAGTACAAGAAACCAGTATTTTTTTGTACCGTCTTGGTTCACCAGTATATGAGATACCACATGGTCCCAGGTCTGGGGCACGCAACATGGCCAAGAAGGACCAAAGCGGGTTCCCACGTCGGGCACAAAACCACAAATTCTTTTGTCATTGGAATACATTATACGTATGCGGAAAGAAATCCGGAATTCCAACGTTCTACGAATAACTGAACCACGAACTAGAATTCCATACTTGATGCTGCTATTATTGTTCTTAATTTCAAGAGGTCAGACCACTGTAATGCTCTGAAATACGCAAAACTGAATTAATCAAATTTTTCAAAACTTTTGTATTAATTTAAACGTGTAATTGTCTACCTGACATGTCCTCAAAGTCAAGTCTTCAAAAAAAAACCGCCACTACTTGTACTTTGTACTTCGCTCTAACAAAACGAAATACAATTTTTTGTTTTTCTCAATTTTGTAGATTCATCCTCTAATAACATTTAGACTTAATTGTTTTTTAGTTATCTTGCGCCAATCTGAAAAACATGATTTCGAGGAAAACGCGTTTTAAGTTTCCTTCAAAGCCAGGTGCGAAATAATTTTTAAGAATTTCGAAAAAACATTTTAAGGGCAGGTGTTTAAGATTATAAAACACTGAAAAAAGTTTCCTGTCAAGTATTTAAAAGCTGCAATAAAAAAGTGACAAAGGATATGCGATTTTCTCATTCTTGCTCTTATTACCCGTTAAGTACACCGATTTAATGGCTTCAAGCAACCGATGGCGTATGTAAAAGCACTTTGTTGCTCGATGGCACGCGCATGAGTCAAGGTCAGTGACCGACGTTGACCAAACACCGTGAAAAGCAAGGTGTGTCGCGTTGTGTACAAACTTATAATACATTCCACGTCGAATGTATAGGAGTAGACGATGGAATAAAGGTCAATCGAGGAGAAATGGCAACCTGGAAGGGAGAAGAATATCGGACAGTGACGTCACGAACGCGTTCACCTCTTTTACGTCACCGGATGCTCAAGTTCGTGGACGTCGCAGCAACCACGTGGTACATTGTACGATGAGAATTTACAATTAGTTGCAAAACGTGTTCAACATCCTACTTAATCGTGCGTACGCTGAGGAGTAATAAATACTTCGTAGCATGCTAATTTTAAAACCGAGGATGGTTGTTAACGGGATATCTTACGTTGCACCTATAGTCCTATGCAAACTTTTGGTAAAAAGGCTTGTATTTGTTAAAATAATTTGTAATTAATTCCTAACTGTTAAAATTTCTTATTTTGTGATTATGAATTACTGCAATAAAAAATAATGAACTGTCTATATGCATACTAGGTATGTCTGTGATTTTTTAACCATTTTGAAGGACCAAATCACACAGTGAAATTAAAATGACATTTTTTAAATCGACACAATTATTGTCAATTAAAAAAATGTCTTAATACATCAAATAAATTTGTTATCGGTTCTGGTTACTATTCCAGTCCTGTAATTTCAATGCCTTATAGTATCGAACTTTGCGGAAACCTAGCCAAAAATCATATTGGAAAATTCGAATCAACGCAATTAATAATTCTTTGTACAGTAATCAAAGCTCCATGGTACATTAAAAAGCAAAATCTCAAAAAACGGAACTCAAAATCGAAAGAAATAGGAACTTACCGGTCAACTAAACAAGAAAGCATGGACCAATGGAAAAATGCCTACGTACCATCAACTTCAAAATCAATTTGGTTTCACCTAAAAAAAATGATAAATCTGAAATAAAACTCAACAAAGAAAAAGAATAATTTCAATATCCCATCCCCCATTACCCAGATCGCCAAATTCTCCCCGGGGCGATTCCTAATTCCCAAGCGACCAGGAGGTGTCAGCCATGTCCAAGACGCCTCCTAGCTGACCGATTACGTAACAAAACAATGATCAAACCGGGACGAATTCAATCATCGCGCGGCGATCAGCGGCGGTTACGAGACAATTTCGTGGATTTCGGGGGACTCGCGGAATCGTACGAGCGAGGGAAACAAAGAAGCACTGGGGGTAGGAAGAGGGACAAAGATAGCCACATAGGACGAAGCCTCTTCAGGCTGGCGTCGCCACGGTCGTCGGCCACGAAGAGGTCCGGCAGTGCTGCACCGAGCCTCGCGCTATATCGAGCCGGGGGGAGGGCGGTTCTGTCTCTCTCGCTCCCGTTTCAATTCGGCTCGGCCATCGTCGTGGACGGACCGTCTGGTTCACCTAGACGGTAACATTGTTTTTTATCCTCTATTTTTTCAACCGATCTCGTTGCGATCTTTATTCTCATCGAACGGTTCGATCGATGACGGACTTCCGGTTGTCCCCTGTCCCGGAACCGACGAAAAACTGGCCAGGAACGGAGTGATCGTCGAGCTAAGCTCGACGGTGGCAGAGGGACGCGTTGAGGAACGATCATGGGCAACAACACCACGAAGAACCACTACTCGAAGAGCCTGGCTGCCGGCAGCAGCGCCTCCAGAAGACCACGTTGGGAGGGATCAGGTTAGAGACACTGTTACCAGAATCCCGTTTCCGTTTTGTCGTAACCACGCCGCGATATGTCATTTGGCTAGGTCTCGGGGGGAGGGATGATCAGGGACACGTCATCGGGGCGCTACCAGCCGATCGCCATCTTGATCGGGTGTTCATTGACGATACGTTTCTTGTGGACACGAACTGATGGTTATTGTTGGAAATGAGTCGCTTTACGGAACTGTTACGATTGATTTAGAGGTGGAAATTGATCCAGATGATTGAGAAAGGTCTTTGATAGAGGATCGGATACGGCATGATTGTGGGGTGCTTCCGATGCCACGGAACTTCCGGTTAACGATGCCACCGCCGCGTGAGAGTGACGACGCTCGGTGTTCAGGCTGGTCTTGATTGGCTTGCTTCGATAGTGGGATGATATCTAAAATTAGGCCGCTTCTGCCGACAGATCTGTCAAGCTCCCGCAACGTTTGAGTGATCGGTAATGAGCGACGCGGGGGGGGGGGGGAAATTTAATCGTCTATGAAGATAATTGTTCCCAGGCGAATAATGTTACAGTATTTCGAGAAGTTTAGTAGGTTAGCTGGGGGATATGATCGGAACTTTTCGAGACTGTCGATCAGGAATTGTGGTTATCGGGAACTTCTATGGAAGTTTATCCGGTGATTGTGTATTTATTTGCCGTCAAATCAGCCAGTAATCCAAAATTAACTCATGCGGTTCGGGGGCGTTTATTTTAATAGTCGATGGTGGGATGTTGAAAGGTAGGCCGGATCTACGGGAATATGAAGTGAAAATGTGAGTCAGAGTTAAAAAAGAAATTCACAGATTTCTCGAACAAGTGAAGGGTGCAATTTCTTACTCGTTGTAAACGCTAGGTTACTAATTAATTATTTCTATACAATCCTGAGAATTAATTTCACATCCATGTAACAGTTAAATTGTAATAACAACTAATATAAGTCGTTACACCCCGTACGTTTTTATTACAATCTGTTAGTTGTTTTTCTTATATCAACTAATTTCTATTTTATTGAAAAAGAAATTGCCAAAAACGAAGTGAACAAAATAAAACCTGCGCGCGTTTAGCGCTTCCGTTACGCTGACTGGCAGGCAAGGCGACCGCCGTCATTGAGTACCACTGTTGCCGCCGCGTGTTTTGCTTAATTCTCTTATAATTATAAGATTAATACTCTATTGAAAACAAAACAGATTTTGTAACTTTCCTTGAACTTTCCTATAGCCTGATATGGACAGATTTTCTCGTAGACTCTTAGTTTCTGAAATAAATTGAAGAATATCAGCGAAAATTGGTGCGTTTACGGCGTCTTTATCAATTTAAACATTATTTAAACGTATTTCGATATCTATAATATAATAACAATTTACACAATATTGTTCAGAAGAGTCCAGAGAATTATTTCTTGTCAGAAGAAACCGAATAACCATTACCATAAAATACCAACACAGCTACAAATTTGAAAACTTGCAATTCTTTTGAAAATTGATTTTTTCAAAAACTGGACGTGCTGGTGTTAAATGGTTTGTTGATTCGTATTCAGCCCATAAATATCTATCAGGAACACTTATTAAAGTTTAGAGAAACGAAAAGAAATTAAAATTTGTTGGACAGTGTCATCGGTGAGCATTATGACAGTTAACGTGTTAATAGTTTGTTGTAGACGTTCTGTATAATTTTTAATGAATACTGAATCGATCGAATAGCGATAGGTATGTTGTACAGTTGTATCGAAGACACGCCGGGCCGGTGTCCGATGTCGGCTCGGAGTCTCGCATAGTTTTCCCTACCCTGAGGACGGCTGAACAGCGGCCCTCGGATTGCCAAACGTTTCAAATTTTATTTTGGGAGCGCCACCTGCGGACCTGCGACGAAGACTATGTCTGCTATACACGTATACGTGAGCATCGTTCTGGCACGTGCGAGCTTTCCGTGAACTTATTAACGAGCGAACTCCGTTATGCCATCTCCCACCGAATATCGCATAGATCATTGTATTAAAATATAATACAATGTTCAGTTGATCCATTTTTGAAATGGATAGGGAAAGTATTGTTTCGTGATTAAGAGAGGTGATTAAAAACAGTCTGGTGATAGGGAAATGGTGAATGGTTACACAAATAGTTGTTAAACATAGTTGCTAGCAACACATTTGGCTGGCGGCAAGCAGCCAGCGTGTTTAAAATAGTAAATTAAATAAATATATTATTCTATAGGATCAGCAACGGAATGTTGTGATTTCTGACGCCGCGAAAGAATGTGGTATTGGGAGTAGAATATGTTAAAATATACGCAACTTTGTTGAAATCTTATAGAGTGAAATATTAATCAGTAAAGATGAAATTGTTTGTAATTGGAGGGTCGAAATTGTCGTTTCATATACCGGAACGAAATTGGTATAAGAAACTTATATTAATGATAAATCCATTATTACGTCCGTAATACATACAAAAGCAAATAACATTGATATTACAATTTCTCCTTTAACCCTGATCTAAGGGTAAATTAATAGACTTCTCATCTACACTATAAAAACTGAAATTTAGAAATCCATTAATAGCCTACCGGTCAGTAATGTGTCAAAATTCTTAAAGATGCCAGAGTATTTTTTTACTCTCCTAGAAAAAAGACAAAAATTGACAAGGGTAGTTTTTTTTCTGTTGTGATCCCCAATTACCGTGGTATGATTTCAGGTCTCCCAGCTCCACCAGGGAAGCCGATTTTAATACCAGGGGCGGACGAGTCCCAACCAGAAGTAGTGGCCATTCGTTGGGAGAGGTCACCGAGTAACGGTGGCTCGGCCATTGTCGGCTACCTGGTCGAGCACAGGAGGCTCGGCTCGCAGCATTGGGTACGCAGCACACCAGGGCTTTGCACCTTTCCGGAACTGACCTTGAGCGGCCTCGAGCCAGGATGGCGGTACCAATTCAGGGTCAGGGCACAGAACACCGTAGGTCTGTCGCGACCCAGCGAGATCTCCGATTCACTGACTGTGACCTTGCAAAGGTCCGCCGCTTCTGCGCCGTCCTTCGATGTCGAACTCGAGGACACGACGGTCCTCGAAAACGAGCAGGTGTTTATTCGACTAATTTTGTTATTAATCAGAATTGGAGGTTGGTTATAATAACCCTATTTCGATCGTTGACGGAACATTAGCGTGATGTGAGTATCTACTGGAACTACTCAGGTATTCGAAGTTAGGAAATCTTTTTACATTGTAAAAATTGGTGAAAGTTACTCGTGAAATTCACCGATCATTGTGTTAACGCTTTTGCGGCAATGTTGATTGTAATCCGTTGGATGTTGAAGATCCTTCTTCATGGTTTCATGGTTTCTTAAAATAATGAAATTGTTAGCTTATTGCTGTGGCAGTTACTGTTCGATTTTGTATGAAAATTCCTGCAGATTTCGTTTGCAATGGATTGAACAACAATGTAACTAGAATCGATTTGTATATAGAGTTCTCAGAAAAAATATTTAGTAGGTTTAAAAATCGTGATAGAAGTAACTCGCAATTTTGTACGTACAATTAACGATATCGTGGAAATGTGTATATGCATTACCTTCGAAACAGCTTTGATGATGCCTCTTTTCTTCTCAAACTTGAGTGTTTACTTTCGATGACTGGTCGAACAGTGTTTCTGCAACTTTCTCGTAGTGATAATTCGAGAAACACGTTTTACGAGTGGTGTCACTTTTGTAGCAAAGTTGCGATGTGTTAACTCGAGAGTAAATTCTTGCAAACTTTGACTTCGAAGATACATACAACAGATTAAAGAATAAATAGCCGAAATGAATTCTCAACTCTGTGTTAACGAAAAAGTTTTGCTGCCGAAAGCACATCTCAGAATTGCAAACCTCAGATTTCCGTGCAAAATCGACAGGTAGTGTTAGTATTCAAAGCAAGTAGAAACAGCTAATAATGGTCAAACAGGTCAGCCAAATCAAATTCAGGGCCATGCGTATCTTGAAAATGAATTTTTTCGAAAACGGAGCCTCCTATAAAGAGATTTTACTTGATATTTTCAATATATTTTTGTGAAATATGTCACATTGTTCTCTGGGATCGAAGAAGGCAACAAGTGAAAAGTCACCATGTACTTTTATCCACAGGCAGAATTCGAGGTACGATTTAGTGGGACGCCGCTGCCGAAGATTTCGTGGTTCAAAGATGGCTTCGAAATCTTCAGCAGCAGGCGAACCAGGATCGTCACTGACAGCGGCAGAAGTGTCCTCCTTATCCATCAAACTGCACTGAACGACGAGGGCGAAATAAAATGCACGGCCACCAATAGAGCAGGGCATACTAGTACCAAAGCCAGACTAATGCTGGAAGGTTTGCAGGACATCAGATATAATTTTATCTCTTTATCCTTATCTAATATTTACAATTCTAAAATTAACTGTACAAATTATACAGTTTAATACATACAATTATAAAGTTAACTGTATAATTTATACAGTGTAATATTTACAATTATTTATTTATTTATATTTAATGGTCAAATGTTTGGGTAAACGTTATAAGAAAGGTACTCATATTTGTATTCTTGTGATAGCATTAATGCATTATTTTTCTTCGTTTACATATTGTTACTCAAAAAAGTACCCCCACATACAACAACGAACAAAAAAGTTACCATTTGTGTGATTTTTCTTATTTTTCTTATATAATATGTATTAAACACATATTAAAGTCTTAAGTTGATGTTGAAAAATAATAAATATAAAACAAATTGAAAAATGGTAACGTATTTGTCCGCCAAACATAATTTGCAATAATTAAATCTGATTTCACCAAAATATGTAAAATATGTCATACGTATGGAGTTAGATCAAACTAAGTTAAGTAGAATTTAATTTGACAAACTTCAAATTTTTCAAGAACTTTATTCTTCGAACACCTAGCTCCTCCAAAAATACGGCTTCCACGCCAATACGAGGACGGTCTGCTGTTCGAACAGGACGAAACTATCAGATTGAAGGTATCCATGGCTGGAAGGCCTCCGCCCACTGTGCTTTGGTTTCATGATGGAGAACTGATCACCAACGACGGGAGGCATGTCTTCGAAACGATGGACAGTGAATCGATTCTAAAGATACCGGATGCCAAACGCATTGACAGGGGAGAGTACACGGTCAAGGCCATAAATAAACTCGGGGAGGACATAACTTCGTTTCTGGTCACAGTTACAGGTTAATATAATTAAGCTATAGAAACGAGGAAATTGGACGTGGAGGTAGTACTTGCTTTTATTGGTGAATATATTGGAAAGTATTAATTTAACCACTGATTAAATATGGACAGATAAGTACTGAAATATATTCAAACAGCTCCAACGTTAGCCACTTAGAATCAGTTTGTATTCACCTCCGTCGGTTTGATTTGATCTTTTCTGAATTCTTCAGAGTAATTTGACAAAAGGGCAGAAATATCGGAAAACCCATGTTATTCGTTAAAAGAAATCCATAACATTCAGTTAATATTTGTGTTGAGTGTTAATCCATTAAATTCTTAGATTCAATTATCAAATTCGTATATTCAACGATCAAGTTCATTTCATTCGCAGATCGCCCCGCTGCACCTGGAAAAGCAACGGTCACGATGACCCTGGGCAGATCGGTGACGTTATCGTGGCAGGAACCTGAGGACGACGGTGGTTGCAAAATAGGAACGTACATCGTCGAGTACTACAGAGTAAGTTATATAAATGTGGCTGTACCCGTCTGTGTGAAACGAAGCTGTTCTGATCGACGATTCACTGTTAGAGATTTTTTCTTAGGTTGGCTGGGATGTGTGGCTGAAGGCGACCACTAGCAGACAGACTAAAGCAACGTTATCGGAATTGATCGAGGAATCAGAGTACAAGTTTCGAGTGAAGGCTGAGAATCCTTACGGGGTCAGCGGACCTAGCGAAGAAAGCGACGTGATCTTCATTCCAGATTTAAAGAGAGGGTAGATTGAAGTTCTGGTTTTATAATTAATAGAAATAATAGGAAATTTTGTCCTCGCCAAGGCGAAACAATTTATGTACTTCAGTTTCTTGATTTACGTTTTCCCTTTGTTTTGCAATTTTCCTACATTTTTTAATGTTCTATCGCACTGTAATAGGAAAAGTGACCTATTTTGCAATATCTTTAACAGTATCGGTATTAATTCTTTCCTTTCCACTAATTTTTCATTCTGCATTTCTCTTTTGCTTTCATGAAATTGTTCCTAACTTACTATATTCCTTTTCATATCCCTTAACCTTCGTCGTACGAACATTAAAAGTGCATAAAACCCTCAATCCAGTTACGAGTCCAAATTTTTGTAGTAACTTACAAACTAAATAATCATCGACATACATCAAATCGTTCCAAATTCATTACTATTTAAGTAATAACAATGCAATACCACGTTTCCGAAATCCTTAAAATTCACTGAACTTTATCGTACGAATAAAGATATTATTTAACAGCTGACGATTTTAAAAGGCTAGCGATTTTTGGTTTTCTCGAAACAGTATAACGACACCGTCCATCGGCGGGAAGTCGCAGAGTCACCGAGAAATTAGATCGCGCGAGAAACGAGAGGTGAGCTTCGCTGTGCCGACCCAAAGGACCAGAAGCTTAACCAGAGAGGAAGGTCGTGCGCGGGACGAAGACGACGAAGGACGTTTCGGACCAAGTAGCCGATCGGTGTCGGCTCAAAGGCTCAGTCGACCATCCAGAGCCGACAGTAGAGTCACATTTGCCCTGGACACGTTCGACAAATCGGGCACACCCATTCCTCCGGCAAGATCGAAGGATCATTCCACTTCAAAGCTCGACACACGGGGTGAGAATCACGTAGATCGACCGAATATTAACGTGGACCTGACGAATATCGAGGCAAGTACTTTCACTATTTTTATAATAAGTAACGTACAAAACCGTTCATAATTATATGTATATTTTTAAAAAAATATTTTTATAATAATTGATTCGCTTTATTAAAGAATGAGCCAAATTATGCAAAAAAACAATGTCTTTCTAGAATAAAAATGAACGCAACGCATGATCATTTACGGAAAATTTCCAAAGTGAACTGTAAAATGAAAAAGAGCATACTTTCCTTCGATGGGCGTGCAAATTTTTATAAATTGTAGTCTACAATCTAACTAATAGATTTATGAAAATGAGGATTGCATAAAAATTCCATTTCATTTGAAGTTTTTCCATAAATACATATGACTTTAATGTTAATTTTGAAATTGCTGTAGCCTGTAAATTTAGTAAAACAACAATCGATAATAATCTATAAATATTTTATGTTATCGAGGTATTAATTAAAGATTGTGCAAACAGAATCTGGATCAAAACAAAGACACCCTACCGGTAACGAGGTCTACAACCGTCACAGTTTCCCCACCCCTGATGGATGAGGCCAGTAGACGTTCGGTATTCAGAGAGTCTCGATCTCGATCAGTGTCCATGTCACGAGAGCGTAGCATGTCTCCTCTATCGATGCCCAAGATTCAAGAAGAAGAACCTTCCACGAATTCCGCGCGTATTCTTCGTCCCTCGTTGAGCTTGACCTTGAAGAAGCAGCAAGCATTAGTCGACGAACCCGAACCATCGTTCCTCAAGACAAACTCTTTGGAAGAGAAATCAAGTTCGCCGTTGACCCCTAGAGAGGATGATGAAAGCATAATGCATGGAAGCTCAGAGTTCATGTTGGTGTTGTACACTGACGACCAGGACAAGAAACTCGTGGACAACGATGGTAGGCGAAAAAGTATAGGTAAGTCAATATCGATTAAAAGAATTTAATAGGGTAAATCATACATTTTGATTCTTATGATAATATTTATCATGGATCGATTCTTTTCGAAGAGTCTTTGGAAGTAACATAACTTTATATTTATATGGTTTTATTGCACGTTTCTATAGTCAATAACGTTTCGTTATAATCTGACCAAATAAGTTCGTTTTAATATCTATGAAGTTATAGTGAAGCCACAGCTTGATAAAAATTCCAAAAATTTAGAAAATACTCATGTAACAATTTCATATAAGAAAATACAATTTCGATAAACATCGTCCACGACAGAAATAATTTTGATGGATTTATTTTCAGTCAGCGTTATTTACTATATCTAATATATTTAAACGACACAGAGATCCTTGCCACCGAAATTCAAGTAGTTTAAAAAGATCTGCTACTGTTTCCACGAACGTGAAATATTTTTCTCAAGTATACACGACGATTTCAAGAAATTAAACATAATTTGGAAACATTTATTACAAAGCGAAAAATAATTCTTCTAAACAACATTAAATGATCCAATTGAAAATAACATCAAATCTACAATTAAAATAGAAATGCGCATAAAAATTAATGTAGCAATTATTTCTACTATATCAACAGAAGCAAGGCAAAGTGCAACAGAGGAGGTAGAAGATATGGAAGACCTCATTCCGCCGCCTATGTCGCTATCGCTCCCGGAACTATTTAGCGCCGAGCATCAAGTGGTAGAGACACTCCGAGAAGCGGTCAGTTCCACGGAGCTGCTTCACGAAAGGGCAATGGAGCGGTTTTACCGCGCGGTGGCAGCCGAGGAGGCTTCCGAGATCGCCAAAAGAAAGACGCAGGTCGAGAGGAAAACTGGGGAATTGGCGTCAACCGTGGACGAGAAAACAGACATAGATACCGATACTCAAGATACTAGACGATCGTCCCTATTACGTCGACTGTCTAACCCTGGCGTCACTGCTCAGAATCTGATCTCCTGGCAGACGAAGAAAAACCGCAGGAGATCCAGCGAAGGTCAACCAGAAGTACTCAAGTCGCCATTGAAATCAATAACCCCTAGTTTGCTGCCTGCTGTGGAGGCAAAATCGGATCCAAACCTGCCCAGCGATTCCGAGACTCCAACAGGTGTCAGGGGGTTGGACAACGAGGAGGACGCGGCCAGGCAACTGCGCAGGTGGCACGACAGCAACGTGCCATTGGTCGAGGAGAAACAGGAAGAGAAATCGATACCCTGGAGGGCTGACACCACTGAAGAAGCTCTGCGCAGCGAGGGAGTGGTTCCGACGATCCAACCATTCGCACAGCCAGAGGCAAGGGACTTAGAAGAGGATGAAGAGAGCATTGAGAGTTCCGAGGCATCGTCTGCTATTAGCAGCGCTGACAGCGAAGATTTGAAACTGCTGAAGGCGAGGATCCTGGCTAGACAAGTTTTAGAGGAAGAAGACACGTACCATCCACGAGGTAGACCGGTTCTGCACGTCGAAATAGAGCCACCAATGGTTCCGCCACATCGAATACCGATATTGGACGTTTCACCCCCTACACCGACCATATCCACCCCTCAGTCACCCACTAACCTAGTCCCGAAATCGATACTGAAGAAGCCTAAAGAGGAGCCGATTCCTGTCAACAGCTTCGGTAGACCGATTCCACCTGAGAAACCGATCAGGAAGATCCCACCCCACCAAGTCCAACAAGGTACTGAGAAGGAAGAGGATATTAGTGATACACAGCCTATCCTCGTACACGAATCTTTGAAGACACCTGTTATGTCAGACTCCGATACAGACAGCGTTCTATCGGCTGGAGAAGCAGCGAAGAACCGCAGGATCCAAGCGAAAACGAAGTCAGTACCATCTGAGGAAGAGGTCGACGAAGAGGACATCGAGGCGAGAATGGCGGTGGTTAATCACTACACTGAAATCGTCCGGGAGCACTCGAGTCGTTTCAGTTACAGAAGCTCCGAAGAAAGAAAGCCCGATGACAGTTTGGCTAGCTCCCGTAGATCGTCGTTCTCGGAGGATCAAGAACCCAAGAGTCACCAGAATAAGAACCGGCTGGAGACACCGGCGTCTAAAAAATCGAGCAAGAAACAAGAGACAAAAGAACCAGACCAGACGAAACGAACAGTAGCGAAGAAAGAAAATAAGATCGATAAACAGGAACGGCAAGCTGATCAGAAACCCAAAAAGAGTGCTGGCTCCCGTGGAACAACCCCAGCTAGGGAAACGAAGCCTGTTAAGGAGAAACGATCCAGCAGACCGCCATCGAGGAACGAATCTCCCGCGCCAAGGTCGAGGAACGTGTCTGTCGAAAGAGGTGGCGCATCCTCAAGGTCGTCCTCCAAGACCAGAGTCCGAGCTCCGTCCCAAGATAGAAAACCTCCTTCGAGAACAGACTCCGAGGATCAACGATACGTCAGAGAAAAATCTGTCGAAGAAGGTCCTCGAAGATCAAGGAAACCTTCCTCGAGGGCACACTCGAGGTCCAGCTCCAGAGACAGAAAGAGACCAGAGACCCCAGTAGAGCTGAAGATGGAACGTCTGCAAAGAGCCCTAGAAAGCAAGAAGTATCGTTCATCCAGACGCGGTTCCGCCGCCGACAGGGAATATACCGATGTGCAGAATCGAGTGAACGAAGAACAATTGGCGTTGGAAGCCAAGAAGAACGTTAGGTTCACGGTCAGCTACGTCACCGATCTGACGCTGCTGATGGCCGCCGTTTACGTTTACCTGTTCAAGAAGGAGACCCTGGCGATTCCGTTCATCGCGCTCCTACTGTACAGGCGGGTCCAGCATGAAATACGCGGACGATTGTCTCGCGGCTGGTGGTGGTCGAAACGGAAACAATGACATTTTTAACGGTTACTCTTACAAGGGAAGTTCGGTAACCCGAAAATTTTTTTTTTAAACTCCGCAGGTTTGTAGGGGACCTCGAGAGAAGTATAGCGCAATTTTTGTTATTGGCACAATTTCAGTTCTTCGGGGTGAAAACATCCCTTGAAGGTAGATAGGTGTTTCCATATTTCCCTGAATATCTTTAAAACTATCGTATATATAAACAAATTGTTAGAATAATAATTGAATGGTTTTTTACTCTATATAAAATAATGCAATTCAATTGATAAAAATTCTTTGTTTAAATAAAAACATCCCCCTCACTTTTCTTAATTATCAATTTAATTGTATCGTTTTAAGAAACCATTCAGTTTTTATTATAACCATTTTTTTTTAATCTACGATAGTTTTAAAGATATACAGAGATGGAAACACGTATCTACTTTCAAGGGATGTCTTCTCCCCGGAGAACTAAAATTGGGCCAAAGACAAAAATTACGCTATACTTCTCTTGAGGTCCTCTAGAAACCTGCAAAGTTTAAAAATAATCGGAATTTTCGGGTCACTGAGCTTCCCTTGTTAGAATAGGGGATTCCTCGCGATCACGGCTGGCCGATTGCAGAAAGCTGTGGCGCACGCGGAAGATCGGCGCACCTTAGAGATTCTCGACCTCCGACATTTCGAAATTACAAAGAAGAGACGTATGGTCCCCGGTGGGATTGATTCTTCGCTGAAGAGATTCCTGACCCGCGATCGTTCGGGTTCGCGACGGGATTCTCGACCCTCGATGATTTAAACATTTTTAGAGCCATTTAGAAAAATGACTGAATGAAAAACTGCAATTCGAATTATTCGAGATATTTTTGTAAACGTTCGAGTTGTTAACCCTTTCGTTCCAACTGTAGACATATAGCTACGTATTTTAAATTACGAATTTTCAGTCTATAAAAATATAAAATGATCTTAGAGACCTTCACTGTTTTATAGGGCTTCTTTGAATATAAATAATTTCTATTTTCCATTAACGTTAATTGTATTCGAGGTGATTCGACCCTGTGTCAAGTCCATCATTAAAACTACTACGTTGTACTGATTAATGCGGTTGAACCGCCAATAGCTTCGGGAGCCAATTGTTCGCAGCCAATTCTTGTACTTCATTCAGAAATTATACCAAACGAGTACCAAAATGGACAGCATAATATATACTATGTGTTAAGAGAGTAACTATATCGACAGTTGCATACTATTATAAATTATTGTTATTTATTCTTATTTATTATGAATATTCTTACCGTCTTTACTCGTAATAAATATGTACAGAATTCTGTTGAATTTGAACTGTGTGTTTCATTGCGTGTAAATTATTTCGGGCAACCCTGCTACATACACTTCATACATAGTTACATTAATGCATCATCAATATATTAGATAATCTATGTACGTAGCCTGCCAAAAGTATGAGACCATGTCTGACAATTGAAACGTTCATTCGCCAAAGTGATTAACGCCACAAAAATTATCAAGGAAATTTATTTTAAAAATTTCAACAAGTAGCGTTAATAACTGACCTAAGATTTCCTCAATTAAAGAAGGAGGAGAATATTATTTTACACAAGTTTAATGATCTAACAGTGTACTATACATACAAAAAATTTTGTAAATTATACAAAAAAATTGAAACTGAACAATTTAAAAACAATTAGTGGAATAATTTGTCACTCCATTGAGAACTACTAAACCCCAAAATATATTTTTACATAATACGCCATTTAACCCTTTCAGCGCTAAGATGTCCGATGACGCGCGTCTATTATACGTTTACCTATTACGAGAAGTGTGCTGAATAATTTTTCATATTTGAGTCTTTTAATTTTTAATCTTAACAATTTTCCGCAATACGCTTCATTCATATAAATAGAGCAACAACGCATTGTGACCAATTTTTCGAAACTCTCATATAGGTTCATAGCGATGAAAAAGTGAAATAAAAATAGTATATTTCCTATTCAAAGACATACAGACACGATCCAACCATATTTCACCCTGCAACTCAACCAAACCATTAAAAACCTCCAACTTGGCGATCATCCCAACAATCCAATCTCCCAACTCCAAAACAGTAACCAGCGGTCTTTCACCGCGTAAACATCCTTTTCACGAAATCCTGACCACGACAACCTCTCCAACCGTAGCCAACGAACTCACCCGTCCCCAGAATTCAATTAAAACGTAAAACTCCAAGTCGTTCCTTAATCACACGAAATCAGACGTAACCGGACGAAGCTCGTGAGCGTGGACCAAGAAGAACGAGGGGATAAAAAAACCCCGAAGACCACGCAGACGAAGTTACATCAGGGGATATCGGGCCAAAAGAAAGAGGAAGGAGCGCAGCCATGAGGGGGGGGGGGAAGTCGTTGGATTCGGGAAGAAAGATAGAAAGAGGGAGAGAAAGAGGAAGAGGCGTAGGAGAGCTAACGTGGATAGTACAGCGCATGTGCGCGTTTCGTTAAAACGACGAAGCCGAGAGTGCGGTGTCGAGACGATTTTAGACCGGAGCAGGGCCTCCTGCCGTCAGATTTCGTGGCGCAGGGTGTGCTTGTGCCACGGGTCACAGGGAGTTTAGAGAGAGCCTCGCCGGAAGAGGAAGGAGTCGGGGCCGGTCGTGTGTGGTGTGTGCACCGCAAAATAACCAGAAAACACGGGTGTTAACCCAGCAGGTTGTCCCAACTTGTTCCGTTTGATCGAAACGTACAAGCCCCGCGAGCAGATCCGCGTGGCATCAAGAAGAGTGATGTCCATGCGAGGAGAAGTCGGTCTTCGTATCATCTGACGAGATGACCTTAACAGGTAAGAGCCGCTTCTGCCTCTTCGAACGCGATTCGAACGCCGCCGGTTCGAACGGATCACTTCGATCCGAATAACCGTGTGGATCGTCGATGATCGTCGGTAAGAAACGTGGCTCCGAGGCGCGGAGGATCTGGTGACGCCGCGATGGAGATCTAGGAGTTTTGATATTTTCATCAAAAGCTTCCTGATAATCTCGTAATAGCTATTATAGTGTCGATACGAAGAAGAAATTTCAATAGTTCGTTGCATATTATATATTGTTATTCGATAGTTCGATAATCATATTTCGAAGGTGTTAACGAAAAATCGCGGGAGTTCTCGGCTGCCACGACAGGGTCCATCAGCTTGGCGAGTTTCGTGGGCGAAGCGTATAATCGCGGGAAAGAATTTTGATATCTTTACGAGATTCTCGGGGCTATTGATTGGATCCAGAGATATTTATAAAAGATGGAATCCCCCCGTATCAACAAGTTGTGAGACGGAAATACGTAACGATCGACGATCGAGTTCCCGCGAAAGTGGATGGAGGACGAGTATAAAGATCGTCAGTGAGTAATCGGTCGTGTTCTCGGTGGTCGTGTTTATTTCTTTTTTTTTTCTTTTCACGTTATTTATTTACCATAATACCGGCTAGGGTGGTGTACGCGTGCGCGGTGGAATATCCTTGTCGCGATTGGGCACGATACTCGCAAATCGGGGAAAACGAAATTTCCCGAACGATTTTTCGAGCGCGTGTCTTTATCGTTCGGCGAGTGTCTCGTTTTATTTTCTTAAGCGGTTTCCCTACGTGTGCTTTTCCAACGGACAGGTATTCTATATTTATGCCGTCGCGGCGTTTTGCATGCACACACGTAGAGTGCCGTGTTTCTGCGGCGATTTCGGTTCGGCCACGTGACCGCCGAAATACCAGGTAGTTCGCGAATAATAAATTCTCGCCTACGGGCCGAACGCTGCGACGTTACGACTGGCGTTTTTGGTTTTGCAACTGTGCTAGCACATTGATTATAATAAGCGTTGTCATACACGACGGGGGAACGGGATTTCGTGACAGGCTAGTAATGGACCATTTTGCATTATGCAATGTCGCCGATTGCAGATCAGACGAAAGCCAAAGGACCGCCGCAATGGCTCGAGCCGGATCAGGTCCTTACGGTTCAGGGACGCGTCGGGGAGGATGTCGTCGTCGAGCCGAAACTGCGGTGGTCCGATGTGTTCGACGAGCTACGATTCGAACTGTGAGTACGATTTGTCATTTTTAACCAGTCAACTGCGGTCGACGTGTATACACGTCAATCCAAAATATTATTTCGGTGCGGTTGACGTGTATACTCGTTGTGTAAAATGAAAAAGTACCATTTACTATAAAAATTCCAAATTTCAGAAAAAATAAAAGTGTCATTTAGTGGTATGTTTACTGTATGTTACCAATGAAACTGGTAAGTATTTTGTAAAAAAAAGTTTGATTATTCTCTTTGGTATATCAGTTATTCCCCGTAGAATGTATTGCTTTTTACAAACTGAGTTGATTATTTTCTCCAATGCATATGGCATTCCCTGAATTGTTTTGTGTAAATTGCGTTGCTCAGAAGAATGAATTTATTAATTTAATTTTCTTGTAATGTTTATGAATTTTATTATTTTTTGATAATTTATCATTGTCGTCTAAAATTCAGTATATTAATACTATATAATACTGAGTATTTTTAAATATTTCTTCTTAGTATCCAAGGTACTTAAATTTGACGTGTATCATTTTTGTATTGCTCATTTCTTCATAACATATCATATCAACGGTTGAAGTAATTTTATTCAAAAGGATACAAACCTGAAGAATAAGTAAGGAGAACAGCAAGGTGAAAAAGTTCAATAAATTTTAGTACGGTTTCCATTTTATATGAGACTTGATAATACCTTCGATGCAGTACCAAAATTTCTATTTATTTCTAGTTCCTGTAATGAAATTTAGGTAGTAATTAATAATGGCTTTAGGCATGTGTTGAAATACACGTAATATGAAATGAATGAATAGTACCACTATCGGGCTCGAGGTCCTAATTATGTAACAAGAATAATTATAGCAGAGAAGAAGAATATCGAGAAATCGACGAAGGAAAGGGATATTCGAAACGAAGACTGGCATCATTGTTATCGGCTCGACGGAAGTTCACGACACTCTCCCCGTGTCATTCTTCTCGTACTACTGTTCATTCCGCCCTGTCGTTTACACATTATCATTCATTCTCGACTATTGGCCCTAATTTCGGTGGAAACCTTGAAACGTGCCAAGGATCAAACGCAGTTTATTTCGAGCTGTCGCGCACTTAATTTTCGCCCAGTACCAAATTACACTCTCGTCCCGTGTAATCCCGTTGCTAGTTTTTGCATACATCGAAGATTATAAATAATGCAAATTTTCCACCGCCAGAACCGTATCTGCCCATATCTTCTATCTTTCGTCAAATTCCACACGATATTAAAAAAAAGTATTCACAAAGAACGAATTAATTACCTTCTTAGATAAAATGTATATCATTCAGTAAATAGAAATATTAAATCTCCAGTGGATTATGAAGTATTGAAATGGACCGTTTGGAAAAATTGTATCTTTTACTACGTGGAAAAAAAAATCATAATCGACTTACTTCGTTTCTTATTTCCTTGATTAGGCAAAGATTGGAGGAGCGTTTCACGTTTCTCGAAGTTGGTCGTGATAGCTTGCAGTAGCACAATCGATAATTTCGTGGGGTGTCTAGGAAGGTGAAAGAGTCGGTACATAGGTAGAGATTTGAACGCTTATTTCGGGAACGCAAGACATGACCTCATCTAGCCTCGCCGCTTAAATAAGACAAGGGTGACGGATCGATGGTGGTAATTGTTGTCTTTTTCAGACTATACGTCTTCTGATTCACTCAGCCTGGGTCTGCTGAGTCCATCCCTCGATCTGGCGCATCTGTCGAAACGTGTTATCTCGATGCAAGAAACTTCAGATCGCTTCTGATTTATTAGCGCACTTAATCTTGATTAACCCCTCAACGGTGGAGCATTTTGGACTGGTTGAAAATCGTCTCTGTGTTTACATTACAATCTGAAGGAAATCACAAATACTTATCGATCCAGAAATATTTCATTCAACTATTTCAATAGTATTTCGTAAGGATGTGTCGAGATCGCAGTTGAAAACAAATTTAGAATTATTTGAACATTCTTCCTTATTTCCAATAGAAAAATCTTCATTTTTAAAACTAACACATTTAACCCTCTATTGTCACACTTCAATTGGAACCAAGTCAATATCCAGTCAGCTGTTGTTTAAAAACTATTTGCTAAATTAAGTCGTAAAATAATTCTGAAACGAAGTTTGAACATTGTAGATTATATTTTCGCGGTTAAGTATCAACATTGAAAGTTCCATCATGTTCAAAAAAATTCTCGAAGATAACCAAAATTCTGAAAATTGTTGCAAGAATTAAACGAAAAAAAAACGATGCAGAAATTAATTCTACCTCTTAATGGATGACAGAACCCAGAAACCGCACAAAAATGTGAAAACTAAATACAGTGTGTAATCGGTTAACGAACAGTTCGGACAATAAACGTAGCATAAACAATAATTTATATTTACTTTTTGGATTTCCCGAACGAATTAATCAAATTCTCATAAAAATCTGGTGAATCGATGATAACGAACATTTTCTTTGAACGGGTTATGTGCGTTAACCGATCACCCACTATAATCCTGGAGCACCCTCGACATTCGTGACTCCGCCGACCTACATTTCGCATGCGCAGTTTTCAAGACCAAAGCTTACATAACCATCGAACAATCGTCATTCTGGAGGATTCTCTTGCTAGATCGTACCCCCCTGACAAAACAGACGCTACGTCACCGCGACAACGGAAGCGTTTCTCTCGCGGATTACGAAAGATTCCGTACGCGCATTGACGTTCAATCGCGGATCGTCACCCCTCGCCGACCGTAGCCCTCCCCTCTAGGCTGGCTAATTTCGACCGAGCTCGAAATTTTCGCGAAAAGACGAAAGAGGCGCTGCTCCTTGGGCATCCGGCTCTAGGATCCGTCCACGCTGGTTTGCTTATAGTTTTCTTCGAACTATAGCGGAACGGCGGAGCGTGGAGGTGGAAAATCGGGCGCGGACGACCTGGCGCTGGCATCCCGCTATCAGTCTTCCGAGGGAGCGTCGCGACGATCGACGAGCGGCCAAAAATCAGCTCGTAACCATTCCTCCGGCATTAGTTAGCGTACGCCATCGACAGATCCCACGGAAACGAACCGGGGATCGCTGGTGATCGCTCGGCGATCGGACGCCACCCCCTCCGAACGAGTTCGAAATCCCTCGTGTTTACTTTTTTCCCTTTCCTCAACGATCCTGATCGTCTCGAATAATCGCGAGTGAAATTTCAATTCAATAAATTCGTTCTAACGGTGATCATCTGGTTCGCCATGAAACAAAATGATATGTTACCGAAGTTCTGGTTCAGTTAGTGATTGATGCATATGTCATCTGGAGTGTCAGGTCTGGATAGAATGAAACTGACGATCTGTAGTGCGTCTATGATATCGATAGACGACGTGAAGTCATCGAACAGACTCGCCAGGGTCGAACGGTCTCGGGAGGACGCTTCGCGGGTTTATTTTTGCGGGTCTGTCAACGTGTATACCGATAGAAAGAACGCACACGTGATGCCAACGTCTCAGCCTCTAGATCGATGGTCGTAATAAATATCAGCAACGACAACGTGGCCGGTGGATTAGGGATCAATGCATCGTTTAGGATTCCATCCGCCGCTTCGACCCTAGCTGAATGTCAGTGTCAACGGAATGTGTGGCTCGATCGACTCACGTGTGATCGGTGGTGATTGGTTTACAAGGTGGTAGATCTTGATTCTGGGAAAAGTGGTGGTTGGTTAGTGAATCGACACCGGTGACATGGGGAGCGAGTGTTGCAAGTGCGCGAACGGCAAGAAACCAGCCATCGCTGGTGGCTCCTTCTCCGATGGATCGGAAAATCGGTAGGATCTTGAACTATTATATATAATAGCTTCTTTTGATGGATTGTTGCTGGAAAATTTTATCGGAATATTTAGTGTCATTGTTGGATTAACCCTCGAGGATTATACCAAGGATTTCTACCGAAATTATATAACCCTACATAAGCCCTAGCATTATAGAAACCGAAAAAATACCGGTATTTATTTCCGATCTCGGTAATATATCGGTTATGGTATACGTCTACTACCAAAAAGCGTAATAACGAAAAAGAAAAGTGATTGACACTAAAAATTTTTAAACTTACCAGAGTATTTGTTTACTCTCCTGGAAAAAAAAATGGGCAAGGTTCGTTTTTCTGATGAGCCCCTAGATTTTCAATAACACACAGTCGATCGAAAGCAGCCACGTTTAAGGGAAACCATAAGATTTTTCACAGACCCGTTCGTACCGTTTCGTGGAGTGTATATTTAACCGCGGAGTGTCGTTCAACGAGGAATTCGTAATTTTCTAATGTCTAACGGCGCTCTAAATAAAAATCGGTTACATGCTTCCAACGTATTTCGGGCAAACAAATGATCTAGAGCGGCTCAAACTCTTGGCATTGCTCTACTGCCCTATTTTCGTCACCTTTTTACCGGCGACGGCCGACCTGAGGGAAAAGAATCCGTCTTATGGCGCCCGGCAGGATCGCGAGGATGCATCGCGTATCATTGGATTTTTCGAAGGCCGTCGATCGTTCGGATCATTGAGATATCTCGCAACGATCTAGAAATACCGTAGCCAAAGATCAGTGGTGCAACCGCGTGCGATTGACGTAAGTTCATTGGGAACGGCGCGACACCGGCCCACGACACGATTCCTCTTTTCATCTGGTTGCTTTTGTCGCTGCTTTCTGTTTTCGCTCCCATCCCTCCTTGCCCCCTTTCTTTCCCTTGTACAAACACTTGGACGACCGGGGGCGGTACTGTCAATCTTAAAATAACGATCGCCGTCGAGGACAGCGCCAGTAAAAAAGTGTGTTCGACAACACTTTAGTATTCTCTAAACAAAGAAGTTATTTAACGAGTTAGAGGAGTTATTACTTTAAAGAAATTGTAAACCTTAGGCGGTGACACTGTTAGTAGTAGGAATGGTAATGTTTGGTTTGTGTGGACCATCCTTTGAAATAGACGAAGAGGAGGTAGTTTGTTATCAGAAATTGGATATACCAGAGTGATGCGTAATTGTTGATATTTTATGCAGTGTCGGTGACGTGATATTTATTAATCAATATTTATGAATCGCCCTAGTACGATATGATGATATACGTAATAAGGAATTTAATCAGTAATATTAAGTGAATGTTTCCTATAATACGCTGAAGACCGCATGAAGGGATAGACGAATTTTATTTCTATTGTACACTTTATAATATGAAGTATTGTTGGTCCATACTGTCATAAACAATTTTTAATAGTTTCATTATTGCATAAAACTAATTACTGTCACAGGTAGCTATTATGGGAGTCAATATTGTTAACTCCTTACGCAATATTTAACTTAAAACAACTGGCAAAACTTCCAATATTTAAACTCAATTAAAACTAAAAGGAGGTTAGTACTAAAATTGTATTGACAAAAATATCGATTAATTAAGAACAACTCCATTTCCACGGACACAATTAAGTGCGCAGCGCTTATCGTTGGCGTCGTACTTCGAACGCTTGTACTTAAAGCGTCCTGTCGGTCGACTTTGCTTGTTTCCATGGAAGACTTCTGTAAATTCACCAAAGTAAACGCAGCAGGAAGATCGAACGGGATTATGGATACGCGAAATTTATTTCACGGCCAGACAAAATAGACATTGCATCATCGGCCGCCGATCCGTTTCGCTATATACCGAGGTTGCACCGCAACGATGAAAAGCCGCCGTCACCTAAGGGTGCATCACGCGTGCAGGCAGGCGCAGCGCAGCGCGGTGCGATGTGTAATGTTGCGCAAAGACAGTTTCGCGGCCGACTGAATGAGCCTCGCAATAATAGACGCCGATCTTTCGAACTGTCTGCCACGCCGAAGAAACAGCAAATAGACGGTGCGACGATGACCATCGGTCCGATTGGACCTCGGCCATCGCCCCGAGGAGAACCAGAAACTGACATTTCGGAATTGCAAAACCGCCCCCGTTTCCATTGGAAAGTGTTCCTATTCACTTTCCCGCTGAATGTTATCGTATCTTTACGTTCGTTCTGTGTATTGTTTATTCCGTCATTTTCTGTGGAATATTTGATCGTTTTGTGAAGAAGAATTATAAAAATACTAAGAATATTTAGAGTATTCAGAATATTATAAATATTTAGAATATTAGGAATAGTAAAGAATAGTAAAGAATAGTAAAGAATAGTAAAGAATAGTAAAGAACGTTAAGGTATGTTAAGGAATATTAAGGAATATTAAAGAATATTAGAATATTAAGAATATTATGAACATTCAGCGGGAAAGTGAAATCAATTAGGATGGGTAATTGTAGTTCTTAATTCTAAAGAATGTCTTTGTTAGTTTGATTCCTTGACTCCGTTGGTATAAACTTGACGATTTGTTCCAAAGATATTTATAGATCGCCTACGTGTATTTCAAGCGCATAACTCAGTGGTGCAATCAGTGTAAATACTACACAGGTTCGATAAACCTATGGTTGTTTGAAGGAGCAAATACCAAGTGTTGAAAACTGGCGTTGAGATTGTTGACGATTGTTTTGGAGTGTTGCAGGCGCAGGTTTTCCATTCCGTTATGTGCATACGTTTGGTTTAACATTCAGTTGACTGTGTTTTATTTTTATTTGTTTTTTAACATCAACTTAAAACTTAAGTAATAATAAATATTTTTTAAATCAAAAAAGTAGTACCTTTTTTATCTGCTGTTGTATTGGCGTTCACGATTCCGAACGGTGCAATACCAAGCAGGGTATAATTAAGAGATTAAGTATATCGACGTGGTACGTTTTTTAATTGCAGAACACGCGGAGATGTACCGATACCATCCGATCGATACCGAATTCAAATGCGAGGCAATGTCGTCCAACTGACCCTCACGCAATCGCAAAAAGACGACGCAGGCCACTATGCTCTGGTGGCGACGAGGGTCGGTCAAGGATTCGATAAAGGATCCTCGAAGAAGATTCACCTTAGCATCGACGAAACGATCTCCGAAGAGGGCGATCCTCCAGTTTTCCTGCGACGATTGACCGATCTGGCAGTCAAGGTCGGCACCAGAACTAGATTCCTCGTGGAAATTCGAAGTTCAACGACTCCGAAGGTACTTGTTTATAAATAGACTGTTTAAAAAACTATTATTAAATGTCTTCGGGAATAGTTATAACATATTGACATTGAAATATAAGAAAAGAAAAATTCATTTCTCCACGCCACGGGGTTCGAAAAACAATTACGTAAAATAACTGTATTATACCGGTATTTTCAAATGTACTTTCTCCCTATATAAACCTTACCCTTATAGAAACCAAAAAAATACCGGTATTTATTTCAATTTTCGGTAATATATCAGTTTCAGTATAGCTTTGATGGTATAATATCGGTATCAAAATCATACCGGTTTATATCCCTGCCTGAATGTGTTTTATTGACTTTACTACCTCCCTGTTTCATTACCACTTACTATACACGCAACCTGAATGTAAAATCACGGAAAAAGTATCGAAAAACGAAACTTGTTAATAATTCCAAAAACTTTCGAAAACATTCGAATAAACTGGGTGTTACAATAAAAAGTGACAGTAAATGTGTACATTCCGGAGAGGTTTATCTCGAAGTCGGTCTCTTAGCCAGGAACAACTGTTAACGTCGAAGAAGAAGGAAGAACAGACGGGTGACATTCCAGAATTGATAGGCCGGGAGCAATCGTGGAATCCGTGCCAAATCCGGTGATTAACCCGGAAGGGGTGAGGCGAAATCAGTCGGTGACTTATTGCCCACGGGTTTCTGTTGGTTCGTCTGCCCCGGAACACTCGGACCGGGCCGGTAAACGCGAACTAAATGGGACCCCGCCGAGGTCCATGACCCGAGGCGAGCTTTTGCGGCGGGAGACAAAAAGGGAGGAAACGGGGATCCGTTACACACGCGCTCGAATTCGTCGTATTACGACTATTATTACGCGTGCGCGTATACTATGCCGGGGAACTATGCCCACCGATCGGCTAAATCCGCGTGCGTTCCCGCTCGTAAACCTCGAAATGGTCGTTTTCCGCGGTGGCGGTCTGCGACCGCGGTTGCGTAATCCTCCGGGGAGAAAACTTGAAAGGGAATGAAGACCCGTTTACACGTTCGAATAATTTACGGAAACTGACCTGTACTATCAAATCTGCAGAAACAAATATTAATTTTATCGATTTCAATTAATTTTCATCTATATTTTCCATTTTAAGAAAATATACGGGAAGTATTTCCAAGGTTCTGGGAATTATATTATAAACTAAACTTAAAATTGAATTACAATCGGAAAATAGGTAATTCTTCATATAAAAGTAAGTCGAAAATATAGATTGAAGTTTTTTCATATAGAGCTCCGTTTACGAGAAAATCGAGTTTGAAGATTCATCGGAAACACGTGTATTCGTGCTGGCAGTAAGTAGAAACGGAATGTAGTGGACAGACGCAGTAACCAAGTCCTATTCCATCGCACGCGTATCCAGCAGATTTTCTAATTCGATTATCTTAGAAACGAAGAATCACACGAAAAAATTTTATTGTATATTTTCGACCTACTATTACATGAGGAATTACCTCCTTTCCGATTGTACCACGATTTCGTATATATCCAGTTGTATAGAATAAAACTTGACTAGCGCGTCTGATCATTGCATTCCGTTTCTACTTAGTACCGTGACGAATGCCTGCGTTTTCTCTTAAAGGATCTTAAACCTTAAATCTTAAAAGCTTTATTTTCTTCAACATAGGTTTTTGACTTTAAGGTCACACTGGCCAGTAGTATATTTGTTAATGAGCAGCCCTATTGTAACATTGCAAGAGGCATTGATTAGTCATGGAAAAAAACACTCTCAGTTGCTTAACAAAAGTAAAAGTGTAACTTCAAAGTTACATGGCGTTGTTAAGGGATCAAATAACAATATTCAGCAATAAAATAAATACTTCATTTTCTGAACGCGTGCCATTTCACGACCCCCCGACGTCAGATCGCGCGTCGCCGTATAAATCACTCAACGCGTCGTTGTCGCTGAATTCCAGATTACTTGGCACAGAAATGCCGAACCGGTACACGCGGGCTCGAGATTCTCTTTCGTCCACGAAGGGAACTTCTACTGCGTGGACGTCGCCCCAGTCACGGTCGATGATGAAGGGCACTGGACATGCATGGCGGAAAACCAAGGCGGAAGATCCTCCTGCACTTCCCGTCTCACGGTGATCGGTAAGTGAATGGAGAATTTCGATCGTTATGCAATAGATCGATCACTTCACTCGATGTAAGCGAAGAAAATCATTCGCACCTATTTCTACAGTGCTTATACAGTGGTAAACTTTATTAATACAATTTAATTATACATATAAATTCATAATAATAATATTTCAGAAGTCTGTTATTAGAAGAAAATTTTCTATTGAAAACCCAAGTGTTGTGAAAGAATCATTATCTATTTCATTAAATTATTATCCAATTGGAATTAAAATTATTATTATTATTCTAGAGCCAAACTTATGAAAATGTTTGCACTCACCTAGTGATATTGAGTGAAGCCAAATTCAGTATTTACTTCTAGGAAAGTACAAAAAACACACGATTCTTAATAATTATTCGTCATTAGTTACTAACAGCCTACGCTATTAAGTTGGTTGAAAATAAATGGCTTTCTTCTCCGAATTCATATAAACGACAATGTAGCTGTCGCGTACTGCCGGGAGCATATCAAATTAGACGATCGATGATGTTAAGGGTCGCTGAATGCCTCTGGAACTAAACTCTCGAATAAATTTCAAGCGAATTAGACCAATGGACTGTACTTCCTTATAGACAAAAATAGAACCGAGCAAATGCGAATGGCGTTTGAAGATAGAAATGAAGACACAGCAGATTAATGTAAATGAGCATTCGGAATTCCAATAATAACGTTCAAAAACCACCTAAAAAAATATTCTAACAATAGCAAAAGATAAAAAAGTACCGTCCAAGAGTTTTACTTAGATCATAATATGTACTATATACATATTCCTCACAAAAAGTCACACATCTATCAATTTAACATTTCTTTTATCTGTATCGAGCAACGTAGATATATTGAGTTCACTTCTGTATTTTAATTTTCAGTCCCAAAAGCGTACAAACGACCAGAATTCGTCGAGGAATTACGCGCTCTGCTCACAGAGACCGGTACAGTGTCCTTAGAATGCAAAGTCGTCGGTGTGCCTACACCGGTGCTAAAATGGTTCAAGGATGACAAAGAGATCAAAGCCGGCGATGTCTTTGCGTTAACCGCGAACCCCGATGACCCAACCTCCCTTGGCATTTATACGTGTGAAGCGGTGAATTGTATGGGAGTCACTTATTCTTCTTCAAAAGTAAATAACATCATTTTTAATATTATCATTCGTTAGCTTCCTTAAACAGTTACAGTAAATTCTCGATGAGTGGTTCAGCACAATGGTAGAGCTTGGAATTCAGAAGACAATGATATTTGTTTCAGCCGCATACGATCATTAGTTTATGAAATATTTAATGTTCAGTGCCGAGGAATCTTCGAACAGTCATCGAGGATTTGCTGTATTTTGTATATATGCGTTAGGACCAAAGTCGAAAATTTTTTAAAAATAAAAATTGTTGAAATCCTATAATTCTTTCGAAATAACAGTGTTTAAAAGGTATCGTTTTACCTGTATATTTCCTACATTTAATCTTGTCTTTATGAATTACTCTAGTTATAACGTACATGTACGCCAGTTGTGAAATATTTATGCCACTGTGGACTGCACGTTCAGAACTATAACGTTTAAGGGGTTAAAAAGTTATATAATTATTTCTTTTAAAATATTTTCTTTCGTACTTTAGGTGCACGTTGTTGGAAAAGGTAGCAGAGAAGGTTCTTTGAAGCCAGCGGATTCTCTAACTCCATCGGGTCCTCTTCCTATTTTCAATAAAATTCTGCAGGACGAATGTTGCCGAATTGGGGAGACGCTTCGTCTGGCATGCCAGGGTATAGTATACATTCCAATTAACTCTTCTGTAGCTGATAATTTTCTTATCTTCCTGAATATCAGGTATCCTGTATTCAGAAAAAATTACGAAAATTACACTGATCTAACAAAAAATAACAAAACTTACGCCGCATTCAGAAAAATTACACTATAGTCACAAAATTAATTCATACACATTGTCATTGTATACTTTTTAAGAAATTGTGTTTCAAAAAAATTCATTACATAGTACAGCATACATTTGCAATCAAACCTTTTCATCTTTTCTCCAGTTACTTTAATTTGTAGTATTAAAGGGTTTTCAACAGGAAAGGTAAGTTTTCTTCTTAGCTTCTTACCATCTAAGAATAAAAATCAGGAAGTGCATGTACCAATACGTACGTTGCATTTTTTTTCAATAAAATCTTGTTAAAAAGTATGAGTAAAATATTTATCATGTTCGTGACAGTCCAAGTGCCGCCGTGGCCAAAGGCAATAACATGGTACAACAAGGAAGGACGCATCGAGGCAAGCGACAAATATCATGTGATGGAGGACGGTCTCGGTGGATACTGCGTCGAAGTACATCCGGTGGAAGCTATGGATGAGGGCGAATGGAAATGCGTCGCAACCAGCGCGGAAGATATGAAACAGTTTACTACTTGCTACGTGGCAATGTCCAGTGAGTATGGAATACGGAATGGGAAATAATTGACAGAACGGAATGAGTGGTAAATTTTTCCACTACAAAAGCATTTAAAATTAATGTACCAAAACGAAAATCCAGGGTCCATTCTAAAGAAAGGTATAAATTTAGGAAAAAGTAAAAAATTGGAAAGATATTGCCACCATATTAGAATTATACTGAATTGTTGGTACACCTAATACAATATATTCTAAAGTAACGTAAATGTATATTAAATACAATTTTACTTTGTGTCATTCAATAATTTAATACTGCTTTTTATGTTCATTTTGTAATTGTGTCTGTTCAGTTCCAAAGAACTATAGAAAACCGCGCTTCATGGAGAGCTTGAAAGCTGTCCTAACAGAGGAAGGATTGGTGTCCTTTGAGTGCAAGGTTGTCGGGTTTCCAACGCCGTTGCTGAGGTGGTTCAAAGACGGCCAGGAATTGAAACCGGGAGATGTTTATCAATTGACCGGGACCAACTCCTTGGGTAATTAATCGCCATCGTTCTAAATAATTATTTATGTGTAATAATTGAGCATTTCCTAATTATATATTTATATAAACTATGATGCAGTAAAAACTTCGATTTACTTTCATAGGAACTTTATTTTGCGATTTAAATTATTTTTGCAGTGAAAATCGTTTAATTTTCTATTGCATTATTTCTTGTCGAATATTATGAACAATTGTGAACATTTATCATTTAATTGTAAGTATATTTAGGTATTTTTGTTTTATAAGGTTCCTATTGTTGCATTGCGAGAAATTGTATGGGAGAAGCAAAAAGCACAGCCGAACTAACGATCGAAGACATTCAGAATCAATTGAACGAAGAAGAACGTATGCAGCTCGTGAGCACGAATCAACCACCCACTTTCATCAAAGGTCTCAGGAGTTACGAGGTGATGATCAACGAAGATTTTCGATTTACTATACAAGGTACGTGTGCAAATATTATTGAGAATTTACTTATTTTAAATCAAGCATTTATTTACCACTATTAAACATAATAATAAATTATGTAATATAACAAAGCGTAATAATGTTTGACGAAAATATATTAAAAACTACTACAACAAATGGAAAATTTTGTTTGAATATTTAAGAGAACAAAGGTACTGACTCTTTTTAGAACTATTGATTAATTTTGCTACAATTCGATATAATAGTTTTAATATAAAAATCTAATTTTGCCGTCTTCGTATTTTTTTATAATAATAATAAGAAGATTCCACGAACAGTGTATTGTTGCTTCTAAACATTCTACTTGTACTTTTCGAGTTGAATAAAAAAATGTTAAGCTCATAACAATAAAGTGTAAAATTCGTTCATTTGATTGTGTAACAGCTATAAAATTTACGTAAAAGCATAAATACGTAGGTGATAACACTTCTTGGAACAAATACTTCAGTTTTCTACTATTCATATCACTTTAATAACCCGAACAGCAAATCTTATTCAAAGAAATAAATTTACAGTCAGTGTTGTACCCGAGCCAAGCATCTCTTGGTACAGGGACGATGCTCCGGTGGAAGAAAACGAAAAATACCACGTTGCCAGGGAAAATCTTGGCACGTGCCATCTCGACATACGAAGGCTTGAATTTGTCGACCAAGTAAGTATTTCTCCCTCAAAAAGAAATGAAGAACTAAGTCTACACACATCAAAAACAGTAGTTAAAATAGTTAAATAGTTAATACCACTTGTAATATATACTATTCCGGAAACTTCAAATAGATTGTTGTTCAAAATGTGTAATAAACTTAAAACATTTAGAATTTCTACAATTATTTTTATAAATGGATGAAGCTTTTATATTTCGTAAAATTGACATACAAATTAAGAGTGCGCATTTTTATCCATTAGGCAGAGTGGAAGTGCGTGGCTTCCAATGATTTCGGCCATAGTGTTACTTCCTGTTTCCTGAAACTAATCATTCCCAAGCACTTCAAGAAACCGAAGTTTCTTGAAAGTTTGCGCGCCATATTATCGGACGAAGGCGCGGTGAACTTGGAGTGCAAAGTGATCGGTGTCCCGCAACCGATTCTGAAATGGTACAAAGATGGCGTCGAACTGAAGCCAGGTGACATACACAGAATCATTTCGGGACAAGATGGCACATGCTGTTTAGGAACCTACACCTGCGAGGCTACTAATTGCATGGGAACGGTCAGCAGTTCCGCGTCTCTTCTAGGTTTCGAAGGTACTTTAAAGTATTTTATACAAATTTACAATAGCAAATTCTTGTGTCAGAACTTCTTTTATGAAACTGATAAACTAAGAGGTGATAATAAAAGTGTTTCGGCATATAAAAGTTAAAATTGCAATATAAAGTTGATGTGTAATTACATTTTTTCGATCACTGGAATATTTAACAACTGACATATTAAGATGAATTTTTGTTAACAGTTTGTTAGATAGAATATCAGTCGAATCACTTGAGTCAGTAAAAAATGTTTTACTGTTGAAAAATTGGTACTGTTATTAATATACCGAATTTAATTTTGTTCCAAATCTGACTAATAGAAACGTACTGTAAAAAATTTTATGTAAATGCTCTTTCGCAGATAAATTGCCAGTCCGAAAAGAAGCAAAGGAGATCCAGTCACCGAATGGCCACGAGCTCGCCAGAAACTTGTCCCTTTCGACGATACACGAGGAAAGAACCTCTCAAATGTACGATACACCGCAAACCGATCATTCCGTTACGTTAGACGATCGAGGAGAGGTTTCCTTCAGCTTCGACGGGAAAGAGGTATCCGTTAGCCTTTACGAAACACCGGATCTCACCGAAGAAGAAGCCCTTCAGATCGTCGAGATGTACGCCGATCAATTGTCTGAACACGTAACAGGTAATTATGATGAAGTTTTCAATATCTTTCTATATACGTTTGCTGGAAATCAATAAATATATCTCAGGTCATCCGATAAATAAGTCGTATCTTGTATTACGTATAATAAGCAAGAAAACAGTCACTTCTTCGAGTCACAATTTAATAAACTATTACTAATAATAATGATTCAGAAATAAAATATGGGTTTACAAAAAGGAATTGTCAAACTATCGACAATTAAATGTTAACTCACTTGTGATTGAACTTAATTTTACAAACATTACTCACGTGTAACTTTTCAAGGACACAAACTTCAGTAAATGTAACTAATTGAATTCATTTTAAAAAGTTAAGAATTCAAAGTTCCGGTATATTTCCCTCAAAATATTAATTTCGAGTCAGTCGATTTCAGAATGTGCTTCGTTATATTTCCAGAGCACAACGTCATCGAGCTACCGCCAATGAGGTTCGTCAAAGAGTCCTCGAACTCCGGGAACCTGTTAATGGAAGCAGTAGTGATCGACGTGTCGCCGGACTATTTCGTCAGCGCAGAAGATGGCGACGACCTCCGTACCGAAGCCGATTTCGAGGATGCCTCCATACTGGACGATATAACACGAGTCCTTTCATCCCCCGAACGAGACTCCCGCAGCTCCTTGAAGCGATCCGCGAGATACAGTTTGGAAGACGACGACAAACCACCGACGAGACCTCCAAGGAAGAAATCCAGTTCCTCCTCTAAAAGCGAGAAGAGCGAAAAGAGTCAAAAAATAGAATCGGAGAGTTTCCACAGTGCCCGGAGAGACGAAAGATTCTCCCCAGTCTCTCCGATCTCTCCTGTGTCTTCTCTCAGGCAGGACGATAGCGACACATTCGCTGACGCTCTGTCGTCAGCTCGTCTGTCCATCTCGGAAAATCAGATCCAGAAGATGTACGAGGACGCGCAAGACAGAAAACGTAGTCTTAGCGGGGACAAGACCGCTGGTTCGAGTATAGACGACGGAATAGGCGGTGATTCCTCGTTCGATTCGGTCACTGGCGCCCCGAAGAAGAAACGACACCGGAAGAAGAAGCACAAACGAGACAAGGGCAGTTCCGAGGAATCCTCTCTGGGCAGCGAGATTGACGGGAAACGACGGAGAAGTCGATCTGGCAGCGCGAAAACCGAATTGCATCAACGTATCGAATCCATAAACAAGACTGAAGAACCGTACGTCGAGGACGTGCCGGATAGATCGTCCGAGAAGAAGCAATCCACCAGCGAGTCCGACAAGTCCATGTCTAAGAGCAACAAAGAACGGATGCTGGATAGCATGAAGAAACTGAAGGATCCTGTTCTTGTGGTACGAGACACTTTGGTGGACATCGATAGCCTCGATGTTACATTGAACAACGCCAACGAAGAAGCATGTAAGGCTGTCGTGGCGGAGAATATCATAAGACCGATCCAGAGTCTTTGCGAAGAGGTGTCCTCTGTAGAGGCCAAAGCTCTGAAGGGCGCTGGAGATAGGTCACTGGCTCAGAATATTCGAATTTCTTTGCTGGAGACGATTGGAGGTCCTACGGAGGAACTTCTTCGGGGCATGGAACTGATAGAACGCCAGGACAGCCTGAAGAACCGTAAGACGGACCTGATAGCAATTCTAGAAAGCCTCGTCGATCCTGTCGATGAGATTCTGATGGGTGTCACAAAGATCGAGCACGAGCTGACTGGCCGGGCGAAGGGCGAGAAACCAATTGTTCTGATCAGAATGATCTCTGCAGTGTCCAAGCTCGATGAGAATATTAGAAAGATTTCCACGGTTGACAAGAGAGCCGCGAGATTGGTCTCTAGCGTCGAGGAGATTCTAAATACCCTAGACTTCTTTTTGAATGACGTCTCGGTGGATCCTGCCAAAGGAACGATAGAGACTGTAGACACTGTGGTAGTAGAATCTCTATCCAAATCTGTCGAAGACATGGCGAAAGCTCTGAACCATCTGTCGAAGACAGAAACCAAGGACGAAGGAGTTTCGAAAGCGATGGAGCATCTTCTGACTCCAGCGCGAGAATTGAAGACGAAATTGGACACTTTGAAGACTGCTCTGGAAACTTACGAGTCGAAGGGTATATTATCGGAACATCGTACAAAACTGATCGAATCTTTGCAAGAATCGGTCGGCCAGACTGTGCAAGAGATAAAAAGAGTGAAAGATACGAAGCCCGAAGAGGTTCAGGAAATGACAATCGAAGAGCCCAAGCAAGACATTCTGAAGGAAGTGAGACTGACTCTTCAAGAGTCGATGAAGTCTTACGAAAATGTCGCGGGTACTCTCGATCCTAGACTATCCAGTATTTTCGATCGAGTCGACGAGATGTATCGAAGATTGAAGACTCCACAGAAGAAAGAAATCGGTATAGAGTCTCTGATGAGCCTCGAAGGTCCTCTTTATTCCCTCCAGTGCGCTCTGACTTCGGTTTCCATGGGAGAGAATGCTGACACTGTGTTCAAGCTTTTGGAGCCAGCAGTTTCTCAACTAAAAACTACGGTCTCTGGTCTAGACGATAACACTTTGCAACCTGTAATGGATGCCTTGACTAACATTGACAAAACGATCCACGGAAGTGTCAGCGAGCACGAGGAGTCGGTTTCTTCGAAATCCATTCAGGACGAGCCACAGACCTTGACAGATAGGATCCTCGATCCTCTGATAGACGTTCAGTCGGCTCTGAGTACTGCGCTTCAGAACGTCGAGGACGCCGATTCCGTCACCAACGGAGCATCCAGCGCACAGAGATTGCTAGCCTCTTCCGAAATAGCTGCTTGCTTGGTGGAACTTCGACAATACGTGTCGGACACCACGCGTACAGCAATGACGCTTAGGGAAGACGAAACGCTGAACAGTTTAATAGACTTGAAGGAACCTTTGCTCGACCTCCAATTAGCTCTAGCGTCCGAGGAACGAACTGTTCAGGAACTACAAGTGATCCGTAAAGTACCGTTACCGATTGAAAAACTGAAGGCAGTTGTGTCGACTGTGTTGCGTCACTCTGAGTCCCAAGAAACGACGAAAATGGTGAAGGGTATTTTAAAAATGGTAGGCGATATCCAGACTCAGTTACCGAAAACGATATCTCGTCTGTCAGAGATCGAAGAAGCTCAGAAACATTTCCTGGACGGTTTCAATGTAGATCAGAATCTCAGCGATGTCCACTTTGCTCTGTCTTCGGTGTTAGAAAGGCAGGAGAAGAGTTACCCATCTTATACATCAAACTTGGCCGGTTGCATCGAAGAACTGCGGCAGAGTATAGGTACATCGGCAGTTGAGATCGCTAATTTGAAGAATCCAGTGGACGACGATATTATACTACAAGTGTGTCAACTAAAAGAGTCTCTACTGACCCTGCAGAGAATCTTACTGACGCAGGAACACGATCCTGAAGAAGAGCAGATTCTGAAGGATTTGATGAATCCCATAAAAAAACTGAAGAGTCTGGTTCAATGTATCATCGACAGTGATGCAAAAACAGATTCTGTTCTTACGGTTTTGGAACTGCTGGAGGAAATAGAGAAAGACACGCCACTGATCGCGAAAGAAGCTTCGAAGAAGAAGGCACGAAGAGAAGCTGGGACACAGAAGGAAGAGACGAAGAAAATGAATATTGGATCGTTCGGTCTGGCAGACAGAATCAGTCGATCTTTGGACCCTATGAAACACTGGTTGTCGACTGCTTCGGAAGACAGTATGAAAGAGGAAGAAGAATCAGTGTTAAGCTCTACCATCGATGAGCTGAAGAGGGACGTGAATAAAATCGCCATTGAAACGTCCTACTCCGAGCCTCCTAGCGATGAGAATCTGATAGAAGCATTGGTGGACCTCCGAGAGCCCTTAATGAGGCTTAAAAACGCGATATCAATGTACCATCAGCCAGCAGACTTGAATACTCTAGAAGGACTGAGTAGACCTATGAAGCATCTTCTACAGACCATCATGGACGTTCTTCGACATCACTCTCGAGAGAAGTCCCTGCAACCAATAGTGGACATCGTGGAAGAAATTGAAAATCAAATACCAATTTCTATCAAAGAAGCTTTGTACAAGAAAGAACTTAACGAGGTGGTTAAGTCAATGATCCAGGAGGAGAAAGAGCTGATCACGTCCCAAGCAACGATTCAGGAGGAGACCTTTCCTCGCGAGGGAAAAGAAGAAATGATGAATACATCTCAAGAAACCATCCCTGAAGGAACACTGATGGATACTACTACTGTGCTTCCTGCAACCCAATTTTCGGAGTCGTTTGTAGAGCAAACGACGATAGAAGAGATCAGCTCGCAGAAGACTGACCAAGTGATCACACAGATTGAAGAATTATCGAGGAAAGAAGAAGTGGACAAGGCGAAGAAAAAAGAGGAAGCTGTTGGCCTGATCGTTTCCATGTCGAAGACACTAGAAAATGTTGAATTTGATGTTACTGGGATTTTAGAAGACTTCGAACAGCCTACAGCGAGTAGCACAGCACTACCGACTTCGACGTTGGCTAACTCTTTGGAACAATTTATGAAAACAATTTCTACGATGCGTGTGATGACCGAAAGTTACGTGACGTCATCTGATTCTTATGAACAGGTGGTTGCTCGAACAAATTCTCTGATAGGTAACCTTGTGCAACCCTTAAACAACCTTCAAGATGTTCTTCTAGAGAATCATCAATACGGCGCCCAAGAGCTCTTCATCCTAAATCATTTAAGGCAGCCTCTAGAAGAGATCAAAAGGAAAGTGATCGATCACACGATTGAAAAGTTCGGTTACGATTCTAATTTGACAAACAATTGCGAGTCTGTTCTTCGTCTTTTGAATAATATCCAAGATCGAATCCCGATTGCAATAAAAGATATACAGTCTAGACAGCAGCTTCTAGGCTCGCTTCGAGAGATCTCGAAACCTTTAGAGAACATTCAAGAACGCATGAAGGTCCTGGAGACGCAGGCTGAAGAGACTCTGGAGACGGATGTGGCCAGGATTCTGCTGAAGTCTGTGAATAGTTTCCTGAACACTATTAACGTCACGTCTCAAGAAGTGCAACTGCTGGACCAGCGAAGAGAAATCATTGGGGAACTTCGGGACCTCGTGGAGCCTCTGGTGGAGTTCTTGAGTTGTCTGTCAGTGGTGCAAAGTAGCCGCAGGAGTTTGGTTCCCGAGGCAGCTTTATTAGATGAAAGAAGAAACGTGATTTTGAAAGCTGTGGAAGGTCTTCAGAGGCAAACGTCTAGTACTCTGGAGAGAATACCTAATCTAGAAGGGGCATCGTTATACGAAGAGCAATTGAATTCATTAAAGAACGCTATTATCTCCGTTCAAAAGCAAATTGGCAAGACTGATTATACCAGAAGACCTAGCAGCGTGGAGTTTACACTTCAGTACAACCTCTCGTCCTCGTTGGATCATCTTAGACGCACAATCTCGTCTCTGGAGGAGAATGTGGACACAGGTGTGAAGGAAGTAGTATCGAAGTCACTGGGAGCTTTACAGAAACAAATATCTTTGTCGAGAATGTACTTCGTCGAGACCGGTAGCGAACAGTCTGTGGACGAGGAAGCCATTCTCGAAGGTTTCCTTTATCCCACTAATCAGCTTCAGTCCGCTTTGAAGTCGTTGAAGGAAAAACTTGATCAGAAGACGTTGAGTTCCCTTTCGATTCAGACGATTGCTCTTCTTCGGAGTCTGGCGAAGTCGACCTCCGAATTGGCTTCGTCGTTGTCCATGCATCGATTGAATCTTATTCGTGAAGGAGCATCGGAAGGCTCGTCGTTTGTGGAAACACTGTCTGCTGTTGTGGACGTTTTGGAAAGTGTTAAAGTCTCCATAAAGAAGATCGAGGAGGTGGCTGTTATGGAAGAAAAATCATCTGAGGAAAAATTGGAGGAAGGGGAGCAGAATGTATCGACGGATCTGCCAATTACTATCATGCAGATCGAGACCATTATCGATGAAATTATTGAGGTGTCCAAGGAAGAAGTGGAGTGCGTGCAAACGGTTGAGAAAGTGTCACCTGAGGGGGAGGTGAAGAAAATAGACAAGGGAATGTCTGAAACACTTGACGAGATGAAATCTGTTTCAGTGAAAGATACGGTTTCGACCCAGGTTGACGAATCAGGGGCAATAAAAAAAGAAGAAGGGGCAGAAGTGTTGTCCAAGAAGGAGGAAGAAGTAGGAAATGCAGACGTGATGTCTGTCAAATCTGGAAAATTAGAGCAACAAGAAGTAAAAGCAGATGAAAGAAAAGAAATAATAGAGGAAAAAGAAGGAACTGAAGTATCGTCTCATAAACCGAAGACATTGCAGAAGAAAGAAGAAACTGCAGAAATATTGTCTGGGAAGTCGGAAGAAGTTGAAAAGACAGAAGTGAAGGCTGAAGAATTAACTAAAACTGAAGAAACTACGAAAGTTTCGCCTGAAGAAGCAGAAGGCGTAGATAAACAGTTGCAGAAGGTAGAAACAGTAAAGACAGAAGAAAAGATCTCATCTGAACAGGTAGATGAGCTAGTAGTTAAGGAAGGGAAAGTAGAAAGTTTACCTGAAGGGGTGAAAGAACTAGCAAGAGCAAAGGAAGAAGTAGAACAATTGCCTGGTAAATCAGAAAAAGTGGAAATAAAGGAGCAAAGAGTAGAAGCAGTAACACAGAAGGCAGAAGAAGTGACAAGATCAGAAGAAAGTATGCAGACTTCCTCTGAGAAAAGAAGTGAACAGAGTGGAAAAGAAGAAACGATTGAAAAATCCATGCAAAAGGTGGAAGATGTGCCCAGTATCGAAGAAAGCGTAAAAAAAACATCTGAAAAGGCCGAAGAGATACAAAAAAGGGAAGAAATTATTGAATCAACTTCGGAAAAAACAGTAAGTAAAGAAGAGAGTGTACAAGCTTTACCTGAAAAGCTGGAAGAGCCACCAAAACAAGAAGAAAGTAAAGATATTAAGTTAAAAAAAACGATAACCTCGATCAGCACCATAGAACATCCATTTAAAGAATTAATTAGTCTCATGTACTTAGCGTTAGAGGAGCCTCTTGCTTCCAAATCTGAAGAAGAAAAGCGCAAAATTCGAGAATTGACCGCCCTCGTCCAAATCCTTAACGACCTGAACGCGACAACCACATCGATTCGACATACAATACTGCCTTCTTCGATTCCAGATATTCAAGAACAGGTTCTTCGTATATTAAAAACATTGGTGAACGTAGAACAGGCTGCAAACAAAGTTCTCCGTCTAACTGCGAAAGAACTGACGCCTGCTCTGAAAGAAAACGTAATGGTGTCACTGCAATTCCTCCTAGAACCTCTGGAATCGCTGCAACACAACTTGTCCATTGTTGAAGAATTTACTGTTTCTACAAACATGCAGGAATTATCAAGAACCATTTCGGAACTCGTAAAGGTGATCCGAAGAACAACGGAATTGAAGCATGTGAAGATCCTTGAGGAAATCAAGGTGATGGTGCCGATGAAATCGAAGGAAGAAAGTCAAGACATCGAGGATACCACTGCGAAACCTTTAGAGGAGCTTATAGAAGCAATAATGGTTTCTCAAGACCAGGTGAAACGCGACGATGCGTCACCTTTCGGGTCCATTTCACCTTCGGTGGAGCCTTCCGATATTTCTGAACAGCAGAGGTCCGTTAGTGACGATGAAATGAAATTGGACACTAGTTTGGTCGAAAAAATAGTCAGTCCCATCCAAAACTTACGGGAACTAGTCGCGAAAATCCAGGAACAAGAAATGGAAGAAACTGAAACATTGGATCTACCGACAAGGAAAACAGCCGCCGCTATATTGAATAGCATCATTCACCCTTTAGAGGAACTAGAACAGTCTCTAAACATCTCAGCGGAGCAACAAATAGTGGAAACACACGAAACTGTGGACGCAACGAATAGAACCGTTTCACCGTCGCAATCGTTGCCTGTTGGAACTGTTTTGGAGGAACTGAAGAGATCCATCGCGACGATTCAGGAAGAAGTAATACTGGAAGCGATTCAAAGGCAACCGAAGTCCGAAAGCAAAGTGACAGCGAGGGAAATGGAACAGTCGCTGGAAGATTTGAAGTTCTCAGTTGGAGCTGTGCAAAAGATAGCGACAATTGAAACCGAAAATTCGGAAGAGTTGTCAGAAGTTGAGAGAACAATTGCGGTAGAGACGTTTGTCAAGTCGGTGAAGAAACTGGGAGAGAAGTGCTTGGCAATTGCTAGTCGAACTGAAACGAAAACGAAAGCAGTTGATACAGTACAGAAAGAAGAACTGCGAACAGTGATTAAAATATTGAAGGAGACCACGTCAGAAATTGAAATGCAGAAAACTGAAGAGGCTAGAGATTTGGATCATACAGGTAAAGAAGTAGTCGAAGCTCTGAAACCTTTGGTACAACCGCTGGAGGAACTGCAACAAATATTGTGCACAGTAGTTCAAGTTGGCGAATCCAAGTTTGAGTCTACTGAAGAATTTCAAACGACTGGTCCACCAGTGGAGACGTTGAAACTTACGCCAGTACTAGAAGAATTAAGGAAGTCTATCGCTGTCATTGAACAGCAGGCGTCATTACAACCTCAAAAAGCAGAGATGTCGACTGTAAGCGTTGAAACTTCTGTGGCCCAAGTTCTACAGTCCCCACTAGACGAGTTAAAATTGTCAGTGGAAGCAATTCAAAATCTAGAAACAGAAGAGGCGGAAAAACTAACGCTTGAAGAAAAGACAACGGCCCTGAAGGCTCTCGCTAAATGCGTCGAAGAGATTGGAAAAGTGTGCTCAGCAGTAACCAGTCAGCAGAAAGTCGAAGTAAGCCTTGTTCAGCAAGCTCAAGTGGCGCAATTGGAACAAGTGCTTGAAACAATTACCAGCCCAATTCAAATATTGAAGGAAAGTACATCTGAAATTGAAACGCAGGAAACTGAAGAAACCAAAGCTTTGGATCAAACAGGTAAAGAGATAGTCGAAGCTCTAAAGCCTCTAGTTCAGCCTCTGGAACAGTTAGAACAAATGTTAAGCACAGCTGTGCAGCAAGCTAGTACAGTAAAATCCGAATCTGCTGAAGAAGCCAAGGAAGCTGGTCCATCAGCGAAAAAAATTAAATTAACCCCAGTACTGGAAGAGTTAAAGAAGTCTATTGCTGTTATTGAAGAACAGGTTTCGGTGCAATCACAGAAAGGAGAGCTGTCAACTTCAAATGTCGAATGTTCTGTGGCCCAAGTCTTAGAGTCTCCGTTGGAAGTATTGAAATCCTCAGTGGAAGCAATGCAGAAACTAGAAACGGAAGAAGCAAAAGAACTATCCAGTGAAGAAAAGGCGACGACACTTAAGGCTTTCGCTAAATGCGTCGAAGAGATTGGAAAAGTGTGCTCAGCAGTAACCAGTCAGCAGAAAGTCGAAGTAAGCCTTGTTCAGCAAGCTCAAGTGGCGCAATTGGAACAAGTGCTTGAAACAATTACCAGCCCAATTCAAATATTGAAGGAAAGTACATCTGAAATTGAAACGCAGGAAACTGAAGAAGCTAAAACTTTGGATCAGACAGGTAAGGAGGTAGTCGAAGCTCTAAAGCCTCTAGTTCAGCCTCTGGAACAGTTAGAACAAATATTAAATATAGCTGTTCAACAATCCACTGCAACGAAGTCCGAATCTGCTGAAGAAGCTAAGGATGCTGGTCCACCCGCGCAAAAAATGAAATTGACTCCAGTACTAGATGAGTTACAGAAGTCTATCGCTGTCATTGAAAAACAGGTCTCGTTGCAACCGCAAACGACCGAGGTGTCGACTGCAAAAGTCGCCAGTTCTGTGGCCCAAGTCATAGAATCTCCATTAGAAGAGTTGAAGTCCTCAGTGGAAGCAATGCAGAAACTCGAAACGGAAGAAGCAAAAGAACTATCAAGTGAAGAAAAGGCGACGACTCTGAAGGCTTTCGGTAAATGCGTCGAAGAGATTGGAAAAGTGTGCTCAGCAGTAACCAGTCAGCAGAAAATCGAAGTGAGCCTAGTTCAGCATCCTCAAGTGGCAGAATTGGAAGAAGTTCTTGAAATAATTTCTAGTCCTCTTCATGTATTACGCGAGACCATGTCCAAAGTTGAAGAGCAAAAAATGCAAGAATCTGAAGCTCTACAGATGCCTCAAACTGGAGAAATGTCAGCCATATTAAATACTTTAATTCACCCACTGGAGGAATTAGAAAGGTCTTTATCGGTAGCTGTTGAACAAACAAGCATCGTCACAGAGGAATCAGCTTTAGAAGTGAAAGATGCAGCTTCCTTAAAATTAAACGTTGAACCAATTCTGCAAGAACTGGATAAATCGATTGCAGTGATACAAGAACAAATTTCCCTAGAACCAATAAAGGAAGAAGCAGATGGCAAATTGGGAACTTCGGTCGTTAAGGCGTTAGAGGAACCATTGGAACAGTTGAAAGCTTCTATAGCCGCTGTTCAAGAAACAATGTCTACCGAGACTAATCAAACAACTGACATACCTGGCACAGACAAAATATCAACCTTAAAAGTGTTTGCCAAATCAGTCGAAGAACTTGGTGAAAAATGTTTGGCAGCAGTTTCCCAGGAACAAATTCCAATACAATTGACTCCGACAAAACCCCAACAGTCTCAGGTGGATATCCTGGAAAAGACGATCGGTCCTCTTCAAGTGTTAAGAGAATCCATCAACAAGATCGAAGTAGAAAAATTAGAAGAGGTTAAGAGTTTGACAACATCACAGGTAAACGAAGTGGAAAAAGCACTAAAGATTCTCGTAGAGCCGTTACAAAAACTAGAGACATCTCTCTCGTCGACCATCCAACAGGAGAAAGATGTGAAGATGACCATTCAGGTACCATCCTCGATAAAATTAGAAATTTCTCCTGCGGTTGAAGAGCTACAGAAATGCATCATCACGATTCAAGAACAGGTAAAATTGCAGTCTGCTACTGCCGAATCCTCGACACAAACTTCTCTCGTGCAAGCTGCAGAGAAATCGTTGGAAGCCTTAAATTCTTCACTGACGATCATCCAAAGCGTGGTCGCTGTTCAATTTACAGAAGAAGAGAAGCTTCCAGACACAAAGCAAATAGCAACTTTGGAACATTTTGCTGAGTCAGTCCAAGAATTTCAAGAAAAGTGTCTAGCCGTGGTCAGTCAGCAACAAGCAGAGACGACAGAAGCAGTACCAGACAGTACAGAAAAAATTAATGCTCAAGTTTTGGAGACGATTATTACTCCTGTTCAAGCTTTGCGTGAAACTATTGTTAAAATACAAGAAGAGAAGATCGAGCAAGAGGGAGTACTAGAATCAGAAAAGGCTAATGTGCAGACATTAGCTCCATTGATACATCCTCTGAAAGAGTTAGAAAGATGTTTGATGACCACGGTGCAACAAGCAATCGGTCAGACACCTGAAGTTGCCGAGGAACTGAAGAAAGACTCTCTGCAAGCGATGGCCCTTCAACCGGTCCTTGAACAGTTGAAAGAAAGCATTGTTGTGGTTGAAGAACAGTTGACAATAACTCCAGAATCGAGGACGAAATCGGAATCTATCAGGAATATTAAAGAAGCGATTGAAGAATTGAAACTAACGACGACAGCTGTTCAACAAGCTGTTGCAATGCCAACAGAAGTTACTGAGGGAATGAAGAATGAGAAGGAATCTGCCTTACAAGCGTTCGCTAAGTCAGTAGAACAGCTGGAAGAACGTTGTTCAGCAGTGACGAAGCAAGAGAAGACGGAAACACAGTTGGAGGAACCTAAAGTACAAAAAGCAAAAATGGTGAACGTAGAAATTCTTCAAAAGATCAGCAATTCTGTTCATGTTTTACGAGAATCGTTTTCAGAAATTGTAGAAGAGGAAATGCAGGAAGTGGAAGAGTATAAAATACCAAAAGATCAAGAAACTAGATTAAAATTAAATGTGCTCGTTGAACCACTAAGTGTTCTGGAAAAAGCATTGCTGGCGGCTGTTAAAGAAGGCGCGGTGATTTCTCCGGAAATCATAAAGGAGCTTAAACATAAGGAAATTCCTCTAGAAAAGTTGAATCTAGAACCTGTGCTCGAAGAACTTCAAAAGTCAATCACTGTTATTCAACAGCAGGCAACCGAAACCACGGGTGAAATAGGAGAACATGATCTGATGAGGGCAGCTAAGACGCCTTTGGAGAACCTAAAAGTATCCATTGCAGCGGTTCAAGAAACTGTGAGAGCAGAGAAAGATGAAACAAGAGAAATAAAACTCGACGAACAATCAAATTTGGAAGCTTTTGCAAAATCTGTGGAAGAATCAGGAAAAGAACTCTTAGCTGTGGCCAAACAAGAGGTCAGAAGAATTGCTGAAGCTTCAAGAGAAAATAAAACAGCTCAAGATTTCGTTAGAACAATAGTTACACCAATTAACGAGTTACAAAATGCAATCTTGAAGATTGATGAACAGACTAAAGGATCAGGAAAAAGAAAGGAAAAGGAAGCTATAATTTTCCTTAGCATAATGCAACCACTGCATCAACTCGAAGAGTCATTTTTATCAGCCATGCAAGGGGAGCAAATTACCATGCCAACATTGCAAAAGCTTCCTGTGAAGTCCACTTTACAGGACCTGAATAAACACGTGACAGAAATTCAGGAACAATTATCTCTGGCCAAAGAAACATTGACTCTAACCGGAGACACGGACGATTTCTCGTTGATAAAGAACGTCGAACGTTCTATCAGTGACCTACGCACATCCGTGGCAGTAGTTCAACAATTAACAGCGATAGAAGCTCCAGGTCAACAAGTTTTAGAAGTTGAAAACGTGTCTGCGTTACAAGCTTTCGGCAAAGCCATCGAGGAGTTCAAAAAACACTGCACTGCTGTGGTCTCGAGGCCTAAAGTGATCGCAGCGATTACGGGAACAGTGGAGCAGCCAGCGAGAGCAGAGAATATAGTTCTTCCTGCTAAAATATTACAAGAGTCCGTATCCACGATAGAAGAAATAAAAATCCAGGAAACGGATATTTTGGAGCCAGAGATGAAGAAATCTGTGACAGTGCTGAGTGTCTTGATACCTCCGCTTCAACAGCTGGAGCAATCATTCGTCGCAGCTATCCAAGGTGAACACGTAGTCGAGCACGCTGCAGAGGCTCTAGAAGACCAGGTGTCCTTCGAAGCGACGAGTTTGAAGCCGATATTGGAGGAATTCCAGAAATCTCTCGCTACTATTCAAGAACACATTATAGAAGAGGGTGTACAAAGCTTATCCGAGGCGGAAGACGCTTCTCAGCTGAAGATGATGGCGCAGACGTTGACGGACCTGAGGACCTCGGTGGCAGCTATTCAGCAGATCGCTGAAGGTGTGCCAGAAGTGACCAACGAGTTATCGAAAGCTGATAACGTCACCGCTTTCGAAACCTTCGCCAAGTCCCTTCACGATTTGGTGGAACGAGTAGCTACTATCGATCACCAGCAGATGATCATTGAACCAGCGGCGGACACGATCTCCGAGGACGCTTCTTCGCTGAAGACCTGGGCTGACGTCGTCGAAGAGTCGAATATACATGTCACCGGACCTATGATCGTCGATCAAGGCACAATAGACTCGCCTTCTGAAATGGCTGTTTCTATTTCCGAGGACGAAGCTCAAGCTCTGAAGGGACTAGCTAAACCACTCAGTGAACTTCGAGAATGCTTAGCCCTGGTTGTCGAAGAACGGAAATCAATGGACGCTAACGAGGTGACTGTCGCGTTGTCAGAGAAGGATGATCTTTCTTTACTGAAAATGATGGCGCAGCCACTGCTAGAATTGAGAAACGCAGCTGTGTCTGTCATTCACGAGCAGACTACCGTTGAATCTGCTAGGGAGAAGTCCTTCGGTGCTGACAGAAGAGACGAGGTTACACCGAATCCGTTGATCGAACCTCTCGAAGAACTTTGTAACTCTATAGCTTTGATCCAAGATCATATGCTTATTGAATCCACGGAGGATCGGCCAGTTGATGAAGTGTCATGGCTGACAGCCTTGGCGGAACCTTTGGTCACACTTCAGAGGAGTATCTCAGTGTTAGAAGAGAGAGTAATTTCCCCTGATGTAGAGCCTATACAGGAAGAATCGAATTGGATAACCGAATGCTTGGCGGTTCCTCTGCAGGAGATAGAAAGATCCATAGCGGAAATACGCGAGTGTATTGTCGTGGAGCCTTCGGCTGAGGAACAGTCGAGAATCGACACTCCTGATTGGGCAGTTGTCGAGAAATTGGTACAACCAGTAGAGGTGATAAAATCGGTTATTACAGGCATGAAGGACAGTAGTATCACTGACAGAGTGGCTGAAATTGAGTACGAAGCGGTGAAGACGTTAATTCAGCCTCTTACTGGAGTCCATGAAAGCTTCTTGGCGCTTAAAGATAAGACTGACTTGAGCGCTGATGAAGAAGAAGCCTGTATCGATGCTATAGTGGATTCTTTGTCGAATCTCGAGAAGAGTATATCGTATATTGAAGAGCGAACAGCTGAGAAACTACAGAAAGTAGGTTTACATGATCAGAGAGGTGTTGGTATAATTGGTACCCTATCTGAACCTTTGATGCAACTGAAGGAATCGCTGATGACTGTGGAAGAATCATCAACCGTGTATCTCGAAAACTTGGAACAACCACTGAAGCATTTACAAGCAGCTTTGGAGAATGTTTCGGTTAATCAACGTGAGAAAGCGCTAACCAAGAAAAAGGAAACAGCTATTCCTGTGGAAGAAGCTGTAAGGGTTTCAACAAAAATAGCGATTTCTATTAACGAAATAAATGTTGCTATTAGCTCTATCGATCGTAAAATAGAAAGCTATAAAGATTTACTCGGAATTGAGGTTCAGATTGAAAATGAAGCCTTGAAAGCATTGACGAAGCCGCTTGAAGAACTAAAGCAAGCGGTTCACAGTGTTCTGGAGAATAATGAAGCTGAAGAATCGTCGATGAGTTCCCTTCGAAAGCTTCAGAACGCTATTGGTGTTATTCGTCAACAATCTGCTGATAAACCAGTAGCTGAACCGTCACATTCGGATACTGGTGATATTATTGGTATGCTGCGACCATTGGCACCGAGTTTATGCGAGTTAGAAACATCGACTGGAACTGTTGAAACATTGTGGAGAGAAAATTTGACTGGAGAAGGTTTGGTAGAACTTGAAACGCCAATTGCAAATTTGATGGACACGGTGAACATCTTGTGCGATAAGCTGCTGAGAATGGAGGTAGTATGGGTCACTGACGAGGAGAAGAAAAAGAAAAAGCAGAAGGAGGAAGAAGACAAAGTAGAAGAAGAAGAAAGACTGAGAGAGGCAGAAGAGAAATGTAAGGAAGAAGAAGAACGTAAACAGAAGGAAGAAGCTGAAAGATTGAAACAAGAGGAAGAGCGAACGTAAAAAGAAAGAGAAGGAAGACCAGTTGAAACAAGAAGAGGAACGTAAAAAGAGGGAAGAGGAAAAATTGAAGCAAGCAGAAGAGGAACGTAAGCAGAAGGAAGAACTTGAAAAACTGAAACAGGAAGAGGAACGTAAGCAGAAGGAAGAAGATGAAAAATTGAAACAGGAAGAGGAACGTAAGCAGAAGGAAGAAGTTGAAAAACTGAAACTGGAAGAGGAACGTAAACAGAAGGAAAAAGTTGAAAAACTAAAACAAGAAGAGGAACATAAAAAGAAAGAGGATGAAGAAAAGTTGAAGCAAGCTGAAGAACGTAAAAGGAAGGAGGAGGAGGAGGAAAAATTGAAGCAAGAGGAAGAGGATCGTCGGATGAAGGAAGAAGCTGAAAAATTGAATCAAGCTGAGGAACGTAGAAAGAAAGAGGATGAAGAGAAGGTTAAACAAGAGGAAGAGGAACGTAAGAAAAAGGAAGAGGAAGAGAAACGTAAAAAGAAAGATGAGGAGGAAAAATTGAAACTGGAAGGGGAACGCAAAAAGGCGGAAGAAGAAAGGTTACAGCGAGAAGAAGAAGAGCGTAAGAAAAAACAGGCAGAAGATGAAAGGATACAAAAAGAAGAAGAGGAACAGAAGAGAGCGGAGGAAGAGAAATTAAAACAGGAGGAGGCATTTAAGAAGGAAGAAGCTGAGAAATTGAAACAGGAGGAGGAAAAACGTAAGAGGCAAGAAGAGGAACAACGTTTGAAAACGGAGAGTGAACGCAAGGAAAAAGAAGAACAAGAAAGATTAAGAAACGAAGAAGCTGAACGTAAGAAGAAAGATGAGGCTGAAGAACTTAAACAACAAGAGGAGCAAAAGAAAAAGATAGAGGCTGAACAATTGAAACAGGAAGAAGAACGCAAGAAGAAAGAAGAGGAAGAGAACCTTAAACTGCAAGAGGAAAAGCGAAAGAAGGAGGAAGAGGCTGAAAAACTGAGGGAACAGGAAGAAGAAAAGAAAACTTTAGAAATTGAAAAGTTAAAACAGGAAGAGGAACGTAAGAAGCAGGATGAAGCTGAAAGATTAAAACGAGAAGAGGAGGAACGCAAGAAAAAGGATGAAGCTGAAAGATTAAAAGAAGAGGAAGAACGCAAGAAAAAGGATGAAGCTGAAAGATTAAAACGGGAAGAGGAGGAACGCAAAAAGAAGGACGAAGCTGAAAGATTAAAACAAGAGGAGGAACGCAAAAAGAAGGATGAAGCTGAAAGATTAAAACAAGAAGAGGAGGAACGCAAAAAGAAGGATGAAGCTGAAAGATTGAAGCAAGAAGAACAGAAACGAAAAGAAGAAGCGGACGCTAAAAAGTTTAAGGAGGAAGAGGAGCGCATGAAGATGCAGGAAGCTGAGAGAGCAAAACAAGAAGAGGAAGAACAAAATAAACAGAAGGAAGTTGAGAGATTAAAACAAGAAGAGGAAGAACAAAATAAACAGAAGAAAGCTGAGAGATTAAAACAAGAAGAGGAGAAACGTAGGGAACAGGAGGCAGAAAAACTGAAGCAAGAGGAAGAAAAGCGTAAACAGGAGAAAGAAGCCAAAAAACTGGAAGAGGAAGAGGAGCGCAAGAAAAAGGAAGAAGCTGAAAAATTAAAGCTGGAAGAACAAAAACGAAAAGAAGAAGCAGAAGCTACAAAACTTAAAGAGGAAGAGGAGCACAAAAAGAAGGTGGAACATGAGAGATTAAAAGAAGAAGAGGAAGAACGTAAGACAAGGGAGGAAGCTGAGAAATTAAAACAGGAAGAAGAAAAGCGTAAAGAAGAGGAAGCTAAAAAACTAGAGGAACAAACTCTTAAGAAAAAAGAGGAAACTGATAGACTAAAGCAAGAAGCGGAAAAGCGTAAAAAGAAAGAAGAAGCTGAAAGACTGAAACAGGAAGAAGAAAAACATAAACAAGAGGAGGAAGCTAAGAAACTGAAAGATGAGGAAAAGCGTAAAAAGGAAGAGGAAGCAGAGAAAATTAAACAAGAAGAAAAACGCAAACAGGAGGAGGAATCTAGGAAACTGAAAGCTGAAGAGGAGTGCAAAAAGAAAGAGGAAGCAGAAAAACTGGAACAAGAAGAAAAAAAGCATAAACAGGAGGAAGCGAAACGACTGAAAGAAGAGGAACGTAAGAAGGAAGAAGAAGCAGAGAAGCTGAAGCAAGAAAAAGAGAGGCAACAGAAAGAGGAAACTAAGAGACTGAAGGAGGAAGAAGAGCGTAAGAAGAAAGAGGAAGCAGAAAAACAGAAACAGGAAGACAAGAAGCGTGCACAAGACGAAGAAGCTAAGAGACTTAAAGAGGAAGAGGAGCTGAAAAAGAAAAAGGAAGCTGAAAGGTTAGAGCAAGAAAAAGAGGAGCGGAAAAAGAAGGACGAGAAGCTCAAACAAGAAGAGGAGGAACGCAAAAAGAAAGTAGAGGAGGAAGAGAAAGAAAGCAGAAGAGGAGAAATTGAAATTGGAAGAGGAGAAGCGTAAAAAGGAAGCAGACTCCAAGAAAAAGGAAGATGCCGAACGAAAAAAGAAGGAGATAGCTGAAAAGTTGAAGCGTGAAGAAGAAAATAAGAAGAAATCAGAGGAAGAAAAATTAAGACTGGACGAAGAGAAACGTAAAAAAGAGGCTGAAGCTAAGGAAAAGGAAGAAGCTGAAAGATTAAAGCAAGAAGAGGAGGATCGTAGAAGAAAAGAGGAAGTGGAGAAACTAAATAAAGCTGAATCCGATAGATTAAAACAAACGGAAGAGAAACTTCGAAAGAAAAAGGAAGAGC